GGGAGATGGCCTATGCTGACCGTGGCCAGCACCTGCTGTTGTTGGTAGCCTTCTCCCATTCCGCAGGAATAGAGAGAGGCGGCCTCCCACTGGGATATGGGTAGGAGCGCGTAGACCCGGTAGCGGAGCTGACTGGGCGTGACACACGGCTTGAGCGGCAGCCTGATGGGTTAACGGGAGGTCGGGCAGACCTCCCGCTCCACGCGAAAAAGGCTGGGAGCTAGTCGAGGACTGCTCCTTGCCCCTACCCTTGGCGGACCTGTTCCTCCGCCTACCCCTACCAAGCGGCCGGCCAGCCGGCAGACTCGGGTGTAGGCTGCACCCGGGCGGAGGAAGGTGGCACGGAGCGCTGGGGCGACACCCGCTGGTGCTCCAACAAGGCCTTAGAGTCCTTGAAGGAGGTAGCTGCAGCGCAGCCTCCCCGTGATGACCTGCTGGGCCCCTGGAAAGAGGGTCGCCCCAGACGGAAAGGGAGGGCCAGCAAGGTTCGCTGTGTTGCTGCCGAGTACCTAGACGCCGACAGCCACAGCCGGCGCGATCCCCATGACTGCGCACATCACCGCCGACGCAGCAGACCGCAAAGAGTCGCTACAGGTGAGCCTGCACTTCCGAAAGCTGACGGAGCAGCATCGACATGCGCGCGACACGCCGCCAGCATGCCCTCCGCCCCAGGGCCGACCTCTGAACCGAGGTGAGGTAGGCCTCATGGACCACCACCCGCACCTGCTGCATCGCTGCCCGCAGACCTCCTCGTAGGTCCGGGTACGCTGCGTCGCAGGGGATTTCCGCAGGGCAAAGGTGGAGTTAGGGCGCCTTTGCCGAAGCAGCCGGAGCTGCTCCGAGGAAGCCGAGCCCCCAGGGCGACGGAAGTGAAAACACATTCGCCAACAATCGGTACAACGAACAGGGAATCCTCCCCAAGCTGGTAGCCGCCGACGAAGTTCAGGTAAGTCAAACCTTACTCGGCACCAGACAAGAGGGGATCGACCACGCCCGGTGACCAACGATGGCAGAATGCGGAGCTGCGCTCTGTGAGGGTTGCCTAGGGCAAACGCCGCCAGGCAAGCGAACTCAGTCGAGTCCACGCTACCAGCAGGCACCGCTGCCTGGGGTAGGCCCTCGGCAATTCTCTGCCGGACCTCCCGCAAGGTCGGCAAAACGGAAGCCGCCGGCCATGCTCCTCGACCTCCCCAAGCTCCATTGCCTCGGCGTCCCGAGCCCGAAGTCAGAGGCTGGGTCTCCTCCGTAAGAGGACCCTAACCCCACCCGTGGACTGCCTAACGCTAGGGAACCACAGGAAGGGAAGAACAGACAGACTGCTCCACGCCAGCGCCAGCCGGGCGCGGCGGGACCCCGTCCGAGACGCTGGAGGCAGGCCAGGCAGAACTGGTGCCTCCGCCTCATGGGGCGGTGTGCGCAAGGACCGGAATACCAGGAATACTCAACGGCCTCGCTACGAAGCTCCGAGGGGGACTGGGAGCCCCTCCTCTCCTCGAGCAGCCGAGGGCGCCCGGATCCGGCCAGAGGCAACGGATCTACAGACGCCTCAAAGGCCGAGGGATCGAGCCGAGCCCGGCGATCCCACCCCGACTTCTCCGCCCCGTCCGGAGTGGGTGAGGAACTCCTGCCGGAGACCTCCAACCGACTCACGAACGAAGGACTTCATCGAGTCCATCTGCTGCTGAAACATAGACTCCATCAGTGACATGTCAAAACCACTCGAAGTGGCAGGAGAGGGGGAAGGGCCACGGGATTTTTTTCCCTTTTTTGACACACGTTTGGACTTAGACGGGGAACCTGCGCCAGGTCCCTCCCGCCTCACGATTTCGCGATAGAACAAGGTGTCGGCAGCCCGCCTCTTCTGGGCCCGGGGAAAAGGCCAGACAAATAGGACAGGAGTCAGCCTCATGGCCTGTCTTCCAGACAGGCCACGCAACTCAGATGACTGTCGGCCCGGGATACTCCCCTCACAGACCGAACAGCATGAAAAGGCCTGAAACAAACACGCAAACGCAGTTAGTGAACGGCGGCCAGCAGCATATAAACACGTAGAAAACATTGAAAAACTACGTGAAGGTTACCACGGAAAGTAATAGTTGGTTTTAATACGCAATATTACGACCATTATGGCACGCTAAACTTCCCGCCATGGCAGAGCAACACGCATGTAACCACGGGAAAGTTCGCGATTTAGTATTAATACAAAGTCACAATTATGAAACAACCAACTGTAAAGCTTTACTGTTCTTGTTTTAGACAAATAAAGACCATACATACAGGTGGTGTCTCAGACATATCTCTTTAACAGCGCGCACGGCTCATGAATGGGTTATCAAACACGTCTGTTCACGGCCGTGACAGCAGAAGGAATGATGATACGGGTCTAGGAGCCTACCCAGTTGGTGCGCATGCGCTAAGGGAGGTAACTCCGTGAGGTAGGGTCCGTATAATAAATAAAAGAGTTTATTTATTGTACAATCTTTTTATTCAAAAAACATTGATACAACTGTCACAGGACATTTTTCAGCCGGAAAATGCATAATATGTACCCCAAGGACGATCTCTGAAAAGAATATTAATTACGTCTATGGGCGGTGAGGTAGCATAGTGGTTAAAGTCCCTGCGGCGCGGGTTCGATTCCCCAGTCATCACAACCCACTGGCCTGCAGTTAAGTTGTACATACATTGTATACAAGCTGCACTGTAGCCGTCGTCATGTTTTTTTTAAACAAACAATTTTTGTAAAACGATATGAATTTCATTTTTTTTTAATTTTAGGATTTTAACTAATCATCATATTATTCACTCACCTCAATGACATGTACTTTTGGTCAAGTCTATATGGACAACGGCCCATTCAAATAAATAGCGGTTTCAAGCAACTTTTCCGGGGTGTCATCCCCAAGCAAACCCGACTCCCACAATGCATCCTTCTCCTGTATTGTGAGCCTGTGCCAGTGATTACATTTTAGCGTCTAATATGATTCTAAATCCCCTTAAAGCAAAATCGGTGGTTAGGTTAACATCTCGACCACTTTGGCGCAAGATTCTCTGCATCGAAATAAGAATCTCATGAACTATGTTGCCCTTGTATTGACCTCCCTTTTGGTTCCTTACCCGTGAAGGTCCGGGTTAGATATTTGCCTTCAGTAACCCATGCTAGTTGTAAGAGGCGACTAACGTGATCGGGTGATCAGGCTCGCTGACTTGGTTGACAAATAGGGGCGGTGGGGTAGCCTAGTGGTTAAAGCGTTGGCTCGTCACGTCGAAGACCCGGATTCGATTCCCCACATGGGCACAATGTGTTAAGCCCATTTCTGGTGTCCCCCGCAGTGATATTGCTGGAATATTGCGAAAAGCGGCGTAAAACTAAACTCAGTCAGTCAGTGGTTGACAAATCATCGGTTCCCAATTGCGCAGATCGATGCTCATGCTGTTGATCACTGGATTGTCAGGTCCAGACTCGATTATTTACAGACCGCCGCCATATAGCTGGAATATTGCTGTGCGGCGTAAAACTAAACTCACTCACTCACTCCTTTGGTTCCTTACTGCTGTGACAAACAGACTCAGCGTCCTATTCAGATCTTCATCATAAATACTTAATAATTTGCTGCCTAACTGGGATTCAAACCCATCCCTTTCACGTTGCCAGGAATCGAAAATCCGCACTGCCCACTGCTTTTCTTTTCTGTATTTTTATTTTTTTGAGAGATTTTCCAAGCTCTGATATTCAGAAACTGAGAGAGGGTTGCCGAAACGTTTGGTAGTTGTTTGTTCACTTTCTTTTTCTATCTGCTGAGAAGCAAGCATCAGTTCATCATCTGCTGAACTATTCATTTGGTCAAATTCCCATTCTAGGTTTTGCGACTCAGGCAGCAATTCCTCATCCGCAGAACTATTCCCAACTGTATCTACATGATTTTTGTCCCCTTTCAGAGTGATATTAAAATTGACACTCGATACACTTCCATTCAATTGCTTCGGAAAATGTATTAATGTTGAGTGACAAAGACATTGCATAAAGAACCCCATTCGCCTGACATGGTTGAAAACATCTGGTGAAATGGATGCAATAAAATATTTCGTTTGTTTTGTATCCCTCCAATACGCTTCCACGTGCACAGTAGAGCGTGTTCATAGCGTGTGTATCGTGCATACCGTGCTACCCAGATGTAGGACGCCAATATTTATATTGCTGTGTTCGGGTGCAAGAGTTACGAAACTAGGGCGCCAATATGTATGATTTTAAGTTTAAGCGCAATAAACTCCTCAGACTCGGCAATATTCGCGCGGCTGGGTGGGTCCTCGGCCTAACGGCCTCGGACTCAACCAGCCGCGCGAATATTGGCGAGTCATCGGAGTTTATTCCTTACGTATACTCATGCCAATAATGGTTGTCACCCTCCCCACCCCACCCCAACCCCACCCTCTCCAATAAAAAAATTTGAAGGGGTGACAACCATTATTGGCATGAGTATATATCAGGATGATTTTTAGATTATTATTAATTCATGAGGATTAAACAAATACATAATCTGGCCCGACGGATGCAATACATGTCAGGAACTACGTATGGTGAGTGAGTGACTATAGTTATTACGCCGCTTTTAGCAATATTCAAGCATTATCACGGCGGGGGACACCAGGAATGGGCTCACACATTGTACCCATGTGGGGAATCAAACCCGGGTTTTCGGCGTGACGAGCGAACGCTTTAACCACTAGGCTACCCCACCGCCCAACTACGAGTGGTAGTTCTGGATGGGTGGGGTTTTTCAGATGTTTGTTTATTTTGTTATTGTTTTGTTTTTTTGTAACGCCAGCTCTTTGGGTCGGTCTGTTCATAATCAAGACTTAACCAAATAATCGTGACTGACATCACGAGCATACGATTACATGCAACAACCTTCCGCCGGAGCCTGATCACACGATCTCGGAAATTTGACAGATCATCACTGGAGGCACTGTCCAGAGAACGCGTGTTTCAGAACTACGAAGCATGTCTCACGAATACGTCTTTCCACGTAATGCACGAACTTTATAAGTTTATAACTTTGACCTCCACATACCCGTGAAAAGAATCAGCTGGAAGGAGATCAAAATGGCAGGTGCGTGTGTGTTTGCAAGTGATAAATAAATGTGAATTCCTTTACAATGTCAAAAGTCAATTCTGCTGACTGAATCTTTGATAACATAGCAACGTCTCATGTTCAATCTTATGAAATAAGGTTCTGATTGAACTACTTAACTTAGAAAAGAACTGATATTGAAATGTTTTTATGCAAATTATCAAATGTATTCCATGTGGATTTAATTTGTTTTATTCGTACCCAGGTCTTATGTTCAGCCTTGTCGCACTCCTCCTGGGATTCGTGAGTTATTGCTATTAATTACTTACATCATTACCATACCTGCACTAACAGGTGGCCAAGTCGACCAACTAGAAAGAGTTTCGGCCCTTGGGGCAAATTTAAAATCTCGGATCGTGGGTTCAAATCCCGATTCATCCTGATTAGGTTTTTTAGGTTTGTCGGCACGATGCTCGTGCCAGGGAGTTTCTCCAGTGGTTCGCCTTGGACTAATCGCTGATAACACCTTGATATAACTGAAAACCCGTTCCATATGGCGTTAGCCCATCTCGATGACAGTCGTACAACTAAAGTACTGTCGGAAATAGAAAAAAAACTGTTTTTAGGCTGTTACTCTGTATCCCTAAAATTGACACAATTGCAAATAGCATATGTCGAAATAACCCATATTGGCCTAACTGGGCGTTCAGGGGGATGCGTAATAGGATATCCAGAAAAGCATGTTTACTCGTAAAATCGGGCGAAACTTGGAAAAAATACGAATAGCTGCTGAAAACAATAGATCAGACTATAGATGGCAATTAGGTCGCTCAGCCAGGTATGACGACGGACCGTCGACTCACTTGACATGAAATGCACGTGCTGCCCACAGACACAAGGGGTCATCTCAGATATATTTTATGCTTTTTCATGTGTATTGAATATGTCTGTATTGATTATCTAATCGTAGCTAATGACTCTATCCCCAAGCCCGACCCCAACTACTGTCGGCAACACCCGTCTCGGTGTTTCTTTTGAGACGACCCCTCCTACCTGTTTCTTATTATAGTGATAGACTCGATGGTATCTATCTCCTTAATAGTTTCAGTATTAAAGTTATTTGTTACGTCTGCTATAGTTTATAATAAAACTAAGTATAATTTCATAATGGATATTCAAAAGATGTCATTTGTTATACAATACCATCGCACACTAATTTGCATAAAGCCATGGTCTGCTCCAAATAAGTCGCTCCAGACTTTGAAAAAAAACCGCATTTGCTCATTTTCGCTCTAATCTCTCCTCCGTAAAATCCTTCTTTAACATTTCCTATCTCCCTCCCACTGAGACTGTAGTTAGGCCGAACTTAGTTTAACAGATATTTCACTTTCACATAACTACCTAAATTGTAGATATAAATGTGAAAAAAGTTTTTTTCTATTTCCGACAGTACTTTAGTTCTGTTACCTGTGGTAACCGTATCTGTGCTTCTCTTTATGTTTTGATATTGACTTCCCCTGTTTTAGTAATAGATTCCCTAACAGATGCCTGGTCTCAGTCCCTAAACCATATTATTTTCCCTACTGCTTTGTAGTGGTTGTCCGATTAATTGAAGTAATCGAAGATTGGTCGTAGTGACTCAACCAATTCCCAACACTACTGCCTTGCCCTCCATGCAATGCTAAAGCCCTAAATGAAGCAAGTCTAGATTTCATCTTGTCTCCTTGGGGCTCCTTTTCCATTCAATGAGTTTATTTGTTACTATCAAAATTATATATATTCAGAGTCTTATGCTATCAGATACCTTGCCAACACCACTGCCAGAATGTTCACCAGTCGTAAAAAGTAACACAATTACTTCCTAAAGTCTCTTGCAGTCATATTTTATCAAATGTTAGCTCTTTCAACTTTCAGTGGATTTCCCCGGTTGTACCCAAGAGGTATAAATGTTACAGGTTCCCAGTAAAATAAAATGTTTCCCGGTCCTGTTACTTGCTCGATGGGAAAATGTAATGAAGCATTGCTTTAGTCATTACAGTACTAAGCATGTGGTTTGCCGAAGCATTTGAAATGCGTTATGGATCGGAGATCCTTGAGGAAACCCCTTTTGGACAGTCTGTAGCTACAAATAATAATCGTTTTGAGGAGCTACCACAGCAAGTTCTATCAACCCTCCATGGAAATTCCGGTAACCGATGTTGGTGATTGTAGGCGAATAAATGGCTGGGCAGAGTTTTGAATAACAGACCTTACACTCCCTTTTACCTTGACATAACCAAAGTATGTCCCTTACGAGTTTGAAAAGGTCAGGGGCGTAGCCACCATTATTAACAAAAGCCCCTGGCTTACACATGATTTTTGCTAAAGATCACCATGAAAGTTGGGCAAGCCCTCAATATTATCAAAATAAAGCTTGGCAACCTATTGGGCTTACAAGAAAATATTGGCTTGCTACGCGCCTGAATGTAACCTTTCCTACTAGCCACTACGTCAGAAATAGGATTATATACATTGCCAATCAATATATTATCCACGACACGGTTATCATCGTTGGCAAAATGTCTTTCATTTTACTTCGGTCACTCTTGTCAAGTCTGGGGCGGTGGGGTAGCCTAGTGGTTAAGGCGTTCGCTCGTCACGCCGAAGACCCGGGTTCGATTCCCCACATAGGTACAATGTGTTAAGCCCATTTCTGGTGTCACCCGCCGTGATATTGCTGGAATATTGCTAAAAGCGGCGTAAAACCAAACTCACTCACTCACTCACTTGTCAAGTCTGCTCTTTGCAATGATGACAAGGATGGCCCAGCCTTGAAATTCGATGTGTAGGGCTGCGTCCCTTTTGGACGTCTGAAACCTCGGATTATGGATTTAAATCCCAGTTGGTCCCGATTCAGTTTATCGGCCTAGCTGTCTGTACCACACACGGGCAAGAGGGTTTTACGAAAGTAGAGATTTCTAAGGCCTGTTTTTCTCATGTTTTCATCTCATTAAACAGACCGAGTTAAACCGAACTCGGTCAGTATGCTTTAATTGGTTATGTGGACAGTTTCTCTTATTTTCATAACGCAAGAACTTGTCTGCACCAAATTACAAAATATTTGTTTTTCCTGACATTGTCTTGAATCGTAGATAATCCGGTGCAATAGTAGACGATGCTATGTTGCAGAGTTGTTCCTTGGCGAGGATTCCAGATGGGTATGTTATGCTAGGTAAGTTTTGCTAATTTTATAACGGTTCTTGGCTGTCATTGTATACATCACAGCCCATAAACAGTGTTTTGTTTCTGAGAGGGAACGGGGTTAATGACAAGGTCGAGAAATTGAGGGTTTCCGTTGTGGTCACTCAGTTTTAAGAGGTTCAGTCGATTTGTAAAATTTCATGTCACAACGGAACGGTGGGATAGCCAGGTGGTCAAAGTGCTGGCTCGTCACGCACCGAAGAACCGGGTTCGATTCCCCACATCGGTGCAATGTGTGACGTTTGTTTCCAGTGACCCCTACCTACACTTGTACGATATTGCTGAAATAATTTTAAAAGCGGCGTAAAACCAAACTCGCTTATGTCACATCGTCCTTTCTGTCCCAGTGACTCCTGAATGTGGCCCAGATGGAATACAGGACGGTCGGGTGAAGGTCACCACAGATCTGCGAGCCGAGGCCAAGGCAGTCTGCCGGGACAACAAGGAAGTGGCCTTCACCAAGGCCGAGCAAGGCGTGAACTTGGAAATACCCATTTCCTACGCTCAATCCGGCAGCAGTCCCTGCAAATTTCAAGTGAGAACAACTTGCTTGTAGGTTCAGTGGTAACTGTCAAATACCCGTGAAAATTCGACTTAAAAATTTAAACCCACAACCAATTGTCCGGGATAATGATATCTAAACTGTATGATGGTCGGGCTTGTTGACTTGGTTGAAGCATGTCATCGGATCCCCAAAGCGTAGATCGATGCCTTATGATATCAGTCGCGTTAAAAACAAGACTCGATGACATTTAAAGAAATATAGCTAGCCGCGAAAACTTGTGGCATTATCCGTGATGATCCGGGTTAGAACTATTCTTCAGCAACTCGCTCTTGCCCTCAGGCGACTAACGGGATCAGGTGGTCGGGATCAGACTTAATTGACACACATCATCGCATCCTGGTCTCGTGGATCGATGCTCATGCTGTTGGTCAATGGATTGTCTGGTCCAGACACGATTTATTGACGGTCCACCACCAGAGCTGGAAAATTAGAGAATATGGTGCGTAAAACGGACAAAAAGATAAACTGGACCAACTATGCCGTCGAAAATCTGCAATAACCTTTAAAAGCGGCGTTAAAATCGAATTTGCTCGCTCAATGGCCATGACCTCACCAGGAGAATTAATAGGTTGTGTAAACACGACTTCCACCTGTTGCCGGCGGCCCACGAAGCCTACCCCAGTAGGTACATCACTCGCTGTCTGCAACCCATCACACGATATATCCATGTGATGGTATTTATAAATCTTAAACCTGTGGAAGCTTATCAAAAGATGACTGCTTCTCAATTCTGTTAGATGTTCACATTGCTGATAATGAACATATGTTGATTCGCTATGTCGTTATACCAAGTTCAGGAGCACCCAGGTATGTCAGCGCGCTATAACGACTCACCGGGTGGTATACTCAGCCTGCCAATGGTATGAAGGCATTGGTCGAAGGTCCTTTGATCCGCTGTATTATAATCCGCTATATCGGCCTTTGAAAACTGCAATACTGACCACGTCAGTCTTTGTATCTCTTTAGGGGTGGTGGGGTAGCCTAGTGGTTAAAGCGTTCGCTCGTCACCCCGAAGACCCGGGTTCGATTCCCCACACGGGTGGAATGTGTGAAGCCCATTTCTGTTGTCCCCCCACCGTGATATTGCTGGAATATTGCTTAAAGCGGCGTAAAACCAAAACTGAACTTGCCTTGTATCATCCCTTGAATTAACACTTGTTTGGGAAAGTTGCCCGAGAAAGTTGCTTGCGAAGAATTTACGATTATGATTACTGTGCTCGAATCAACATTCCAGTTAAATTCTGCTTCATGACGTACAATTTATTTTATTTTAAATTCGTTTGAAAGTGTTTAAATGCTTTCACTTGGGTAATCTGTCAGATTTTAGTGCGAGTCATCAGAAACGAACGCGAGTGTTCATATTGATGACCGGTTTGTCTGGTCAAGACATGTTTAATGACAAGCCGCATTCTTATTACTAGAATAGTGTGGAGTGCGACGTTGAACATTATTTTCCCTTTTGTACTCACTTTATGAACACTCCTAAGCTTTTAAATCGGAGAATGTCCATCGTATATATTCGACTTAGTTACTCACAACCCGGCTCAGTCAGGTAGAACAAGAGAATGCTTAACGTTGCGTTCAACCATTTGTGCATTATGCCATATTGATGCTATTGTTTCCCTTCACCAATGGAAGTCGCGGTCTTGTGCGCTGATAATCACGAACGTATTGGTCCCCGCTGAGTGGTACTTCCACCTTAACACACAACGGTGATTCCAGTTGTGGTTTAGACGAGACTATAGGTTCATCGATAACATGTGACACAGGGGTCAAAAAGGCTATATATTCTGACTCGTCACTTCACAAAATTGTACATCATAACTGAGTGGAATTCCTCATTTGTCAAGGACATTTCTCTCATGTTTCACTAACCGTTTCTTTGACATAGGAATCACCTATGGTTTAAAATATACTGGAGGGCAAGAAAGGTTACGCGTACGAATTAAGAATGGACGCAAATTGTTTTATATTGTATTTCCTAGCTGAATTCTTTATTTTATACCGTTTGCTTGTATAAATACTTTGTTATTCCGGTTAGGCATAGTGTTTGAATCTCGTCCCCATTTGTTACACTATACGGAACTGACATGTTGCAATAATTGTTTTCATGACATCAAGAAACGCAAGGACGCCAGGGTGTACGTTCTGAAAGTGCTGGTGGCTTGGGGCGAGCCGGGAAATCCAATCCATTCTGACGAGGAAGAGTTCTTCGTCACCTGCACCTTTGACGACAACGGGAATCAGATTTCTCCCAATCAAACTGTGGATGAAAGGTTTGAAGCTTTTGAATCTATGCCCCTCTTCTGTGTGGTGCAGACTCGTTTATTTACGCGATTGAGTTTAGTTTTACGCCGCACTCGGCAATATTCCAGCTATATGGCGGCGGTCTGTAAATAATAGTCTGGACCAGACAATCCAGTGATCAACAGCATGAGCAGCGATCTGCGCAATTGGGAACCGATGACATGTCAACCAAGTCAGCGAGCCTGACCACCCGATCCCGTTAGTCGCCTCTTACAAGCATGGGTTACTGAAGGTTCATTCTAACCCGGACCTTCACAGGTAGGTTTATTTAGGGACCGCCGTCATATAGCGAGAATATTGCAAAGTTGCTGCATTAACAAACAAAACATTGTCATATTTCGACTCGAGTACACGAACATCAAACTATCGGTTGTAGCTTATTACATAACTGAGAGGTGCTGAAATAAAATAGCACGTCTCGGGTGTTTTGTCACGCCGCTTTCAGCAATATTGCTGCAATATTACGGCGGGGAATCAAACCCCGGATCTAGAATGCCCCCTTTTGTCATGAAATGACAATAGGTCGCACATGCTCTCGTCAACATATGATTGCACCAGTTGACATTTTCCGTGAAATGAAATGGATCATATTTTTCTTTATCCTGACTCATGATCTTTTGCTTATCTCCCTTTTCCTTTCGAATGGTAGTGGAACACTTGAATCCCTTGAAGTTCCCGAAGCGGACGTATAAATACTCAACCATATTTCTAGACCTGTAAGGATCAATCTGGCAACCAGTATATAGTTCAAAATGCTGGAAAGGTATCCGAGCCGTGACATCGCCGACCCCTCTGTCACTTAAACTTTCTGCTTTAATTACCCAGTCTAGTTGCACCACTGGAAATCCAGACCCATGCTGGAAAGAAAGCCGTGTCCACCTTTTCACTGGTTTTGACGGATGTTCTTGGAGCTCATCTGACCAACAAGAATGTGCCTTTGGGCAGGAAGGTTGTCCTGACGGCATCTACGGACGGTAGGTAGCGAGGCCATTGAATATTTCCGAGTGCGGCGTAAACTAATACATTTGTTGGATCTGCGCATTGAAGGGGCGATGGGGTAGCCTAGTTTCCTACACAAACGTGACATTTCACTTCGATTCCATTCACAAACTTGTGGCACTAAACACATGTTCCCAACTCCAGCATTGACATTAGACATATTTTCACCGCACCACCTTTCTGTGAAAACCGGGGTCAGTGGGGTAGCCTAGTGGTTAAAGCGTTCGCTCGCTCGTCACGCCGATTACCCGATTCGCCACATGGGTGCAATGTGTGAAGCCCACTTCTGGTGTCCCCCCCCCCCCCTGTGATTTTGCTCGAATATTGCTAAACGCGGCGTAAAACGTAACTCACTCTGCGCATTGTAGTAAATATCGCCAGTCTCGGTCTTTTACTGATCTGATATCAATTTAAACAAACGGACGTTACAAATGGACATGTCATCGTATTCCAATTGCATAGATCGATGATCATGCTGTTGATCACTGGATTATCTCCAGACTCCATTATTTAGACCGCCTCCATATAGCTGGGATATTGCTGCAACGTTCAATAACAAACGTAGACAAAAATTGTTCATGTTAATGTACCCGGGCGAGGGCCACTCAAAATGATTCTGGAACTTGTGAACCCTTACCCTTCAAAATTCCTGGATCCGCCCATGATGGCCACCTTGGACATGACGAACATTAAGGTCATCAACCACTCACCTCATCTCGTGACAATTACTGTCATGTTGCTGTCAGTAACGGAAGGACTATTCGTGTTGTCACGTCCAGCATTAGCGAAATGCAAGATAGTATAAGTTCACACGTTGGACTTTCAGTAGCCTTGTACGTTCTCTCGACCTTAAATAATTCGGACCAGAAAATCCGGTGGTCAACATGAGCATCGAACTACGCAATTTTGGGATACGATGACATGTGTGAACCAAGTCAGCGAGCGTGAATCCCCCGACCCCGTCAGACGCGAACATAGTTGTTAAAGTTAAAGGCATAGAGGTACAGATAAGCTGCTTTTCTGAGTTAACCAACGTTTATACTATATTTTTATAATTAATGGAAAATGGCAAAATACCCAATTGAACACAAGCGAGTACATAACTCAAGACCCAAAAGGTTATGTGTATCTGTTCCAACACGGATTTTCACCGGTGCGTTGCAAATTGACATTGGAAACTTTTATAGGCATCTTAACTTGTGGATGACAACTCGCACATAGCCAATACCGTGACAAATCCTTCCTACTTATTGACCGTACATGTTACTTGCAGGCAAGAATAATGAAAAGGGTCTTCGGCCTGATGGATGTGATGCAATTGGCACCTTGACCGGCAGAAGATACGCAATTCTACGAGCTGGGTAGGTACAGTTATTTTGTCAAACTCATTTTTTCACCTAAATGTAATGTTGAATTATTTTTAAGTAAATGGGAAAATAGCTCGAATGAATTAGTTCTTGTACTTAAGATCTGTAGCTTGGCCTCGATGCAGAACCTAGCACCATACCCGTGTTCGTGACTGTGATATCAATGTATCCAACTTCCAGAAACCTTCATTCAGCTGAGAAAAACCTGCTTTCTGTACATACCTACAAGATGAACACGTTTGGTGCCAGATCCTTCACTCTCCTGCTGTGCTATTGAACGCTCTTCCACTTTCCTCAGATGCGTTAATTCCTTGAGTGCCTTCAAATTATGGCCTAACGACCCATCTGTTTCATCATACGATCTGGGGCGGTGGGGTAGCCTAGTGGTTAAAGCGTTGGCTCGTCACGCCGAAGACCCGGGTTCGAATCCCCACATGGGTACTATGCGTGAAGCCCATTTCTGGTGTCCCCCCGCCGTGATGTTGCTGGAATATTGCTAAAAGCGGCGTAAAACCAAAGTCAGTCAGTCATCATACGATCTTTTTAACTGAAAGTGATTGATGTCTGTGCGGAGTAGGGTTTAGCGCAATATAAGTGACACTATGTGAATGTAAAATGTAAAATTACAGCCCAGTCGTCGGAGCAGAGTAGCTTCCCTTGGGTGCGCCAGAAACCTATGCAGTTCAGTTAGGATCAAATATCGCCTGTTTTTACTGGTCTGCACCATACCTCTGCTCATTGGTTTCACCAACGGGTTTCTGTTAAAACTGAATTTCGTTTTTTCTCCATCTGGGACACGTCAGAATATAAAACTGAAATAATTCACGTTTACCCGTTTCATATTTTTCAGCTGTGGCGATGGCGTGGTTTTCTCGCAGAAACAAGGCTTCGTGTCCAATGGGCTTACATCAATGAGTCCATACTTCAGCGCCTTTGACATGGCTGGCGAGCCATCCATTCGCTTTGAGTGCAACTTTACATTATGCGAGAAAGTATGCAATGGGGTAAGTGGTTCCCGAGAACGGTGGGACTGGGTACCTTGGGTCGATTGAACATTCAGGATAGAAATTGGTTCCAATTAACCTCATTTGGACGGATCTGGTGATCAGCCTTGGTCTTCTTGCCCCAAAGACGATATTATTTACAGTCCGTTTTGCTGAGCAGGTTCCGTGGCCGAATAATGTGGCGCCGCAATTCGCCATATGGAGTTGCCTCCCTTGATTAGCAGGAAGCCTGACATTCGTAACTACTCGCCTCTTTCCGTAACCTACAAGAAGACTCGTACCCCTATCGTACGCCATTATTGCCAAGAATCGTGGCAAACCACATTTCGAAGCATGAAAATGGCGGCACCGTTGAAGTTTGAAACTTCACTAAACTATGCAAAGCACAATTTAAACAGAAACTATGAGCTAAAGGATCAGAAACTTTAAACAATGAAATATATTTACAGAGGAAATGACTGTATTGCTGTTTTGCCCACGGGATATGGGCTATTCTAGGAGCCATGTTTGGAAATTCAGAGTTATCTTTCCTTGGCAATAGTACCAGACTATTTTCATCTCCATGCCCGTTAGCGCTTAGACAGGGCCCAGTCGTAAACATGGCCACGAAGGGGGTACGAGACGCCATCCGGCTTGCCGGAATGACACGAGTAGTTACGAATGGAAGCCTGATTGTCAGAACCTCGCTGGTTGGTTGGAATACTTTCAGAAGCGACAAACCCAGCCGGTGTTGCTGAATACGGCGATGACATACTTCTACATCCTGTATACTTCTACATCCTGTATACTTCTACATCCTGTTTACTACTTCATCCTGTTTACTACTACATCCAAGTACTTGTCTGTGGTGTCTGACGACATGACGTCTTTTACCAGTGGCAAGAATGTGTCCCTTGGCCTGTTGCAGCATGAAAGTCGAAAGTGGCCACATGCATTTCCGGTTTTCTGAAAAGATCAGGTCCCATGATTTATACTCTTGTCTTTTCCAGAGTTCCTGCGCGAACGAAAGACGCCGTAGATCAGAAGATGGTAAGAGTTGCTTCCCCTAGTTTCCCCACTCGAATCGGCATGTCACTGATCACCATTTTGTTTCAAGCCCTTGATTCCATACTCGCACGTTCTTCCCATTAATTACTGACAGTCTCTTTACTTGGGTATTTGACATGCATTACTCAATAGAAGTTGGACAAACCGATTCTTTCAAATTATGGGTTAACCTCAGGACATTCCACGAAAGCTCCGGGATGCCCCTAGCTTTTGAGAAGTATTTTTACTGTTGGGCCAAGTCTATTGGGTATATTTTCACCAATGAGTGGGCATGTAAACAAATTGTCCTTGAAGTGCTGCTTTAGGCGCCCTTTTTAGAAATATATCTATTTGCAAAATGTCACATGACTAATAGTCAAATGCAACCTTCTAATGTCTATTGAACACTGTTTCTTCACTATTCCATCGCAATCCTTCCTTTGACTGCTTCATTTTTGCAGACGACGACGACGACCATCCACGTCTAATTTTCAGCGATGATCCGGGACTATCATGGTATGACCTCCGTGACAGCAGCAACGACCTCGTCTTCTGGGCGTTTTTTGCTCGGGATAGGAATAGTGACGCTGATATCAGTGGGTGTATCCGTCTGTGCCCTGACAAGACGCAGGTCAAATTTACAAGTTGTCGCTGCCTAATGAATAAATACTGAAAAGTTTGTTTCTTTTCATTGATTACGCGAGACCGCGGTTTTATCGGGACTATGGTGATATACCCCTGTGCTCCTGTTTGTAAAGGGCGACTGGAGTGTAGGCGTGCTACCAGCATGGTTAATTGTTTTGGTCTGCTTCATCACTTCCACGAAATGAGGTAATTGACATCCTGTTCCTGGACTCGAAGTCGGTGGGAATCACGCATTGCCGCTTAACCTACAAACTACTGACAAAAAGGAAAATATGGACACGTTTCGAGGTCAGATTCAGCGGTTGAATCTTCTCGGAATTGGGAAAGGTTGCATAAGGAGCGCCAGACCCTTGTGTTCACATTTTTTTTATCTCTTTTAATTGTCTCTCCGCGCACAGCCTTTTTGTAAGTAGTGCAGTTCTGTCGAACTGGAAAGGATCCGACTCTCCTCACCCCTCTTCATTCGGGTCATTACAACTGAGAATTCATATATAGATATTGCATGCTATCTTCAACAAACGTCAAGCGCCAGATCACAACCAGTCGGTAAATTTTACAAGCATGTAACATAGGAATGTATTATGCGTAAAAGATGCAAAGTGAACATTTTGCCTTCATCCATTTCTGGCACTGGAATTTCAGCCAGTTTTCCTGTCGATAGTAACACTGACCTTATCTGGTACCCGTGTTCGAGCACTTATTCCGGCTTACCACCGAATTCATTGATTTTGACGTACATTTGAAAACGATATGAAAACTGCGCTCAAGGTGCACCTGGATCTAGTTCCCGACGTTCAAATTGCGCAGATATTAATTTCTTGTTTCTCGAAAGAACCGCGGACGATTTTATGTCGGACGGAATATATAAATAAAATCTGCAGATTCTAAACTGGTACGAGTTCGGAAAGAGCAAATTTCTCCACTTATTCTTGTAGTCAATGAACGAACTGTGGGATGTTTATTTAACGGCTTCTCGGAAACTGAGCGGAAAAATGCTTTATATCTTAAAGAAATAAATACATCACATTCGTAAGGATTTAACACCAATGTCTTGCCTGTAATTACGAAAACCGACCATAAACACAATGATTTGGACTAAGGACAGGTGGTTAGAAATTCTGAAGAAGCGCAATATCTTTTTTAAATGAATAATACAATATTGAAACTAAACGTGAACATTGAAATATTGTCCCTGTCAATGTCAGTTGATGCCACATTCACTTTGCGTATGGGTGTGGGCAGTCTGGTGGCGTAGTGGTTAAAGAGTTCGCGCGTCACGCCGAAGACCCGGGTTCGATTCCCCAAATGGGTACAATGTGTGAAGCCCATTTCTGGTGTCCCCACCGTGATATTGCTGGAATATGGCTAAAAGCGGCGTAAAACTAATAGCACTCATTTATGTGGGCGTTAGGTGATGGAGTACTTGTCCCATCAAATGCTATGAAATCTCTACTTCGCTAAACTTAATTGGAATCTTCTATCAAAACATCTTTTGACCACGTAAATCCTTTTGAACAGAATGTGCATTTGTTTTGGTATCCCAATTTACGTTATCAGTTTTCCAAGTGAATATTTCAGCATTGTATATGTATATGCCTAGAATGTAGTTCTCATCTCAATGATAAATCATTCAACAAAAGATTCAATGAAAATTAAAACCGAAACGCGCTATTAACCATGTGCGAGTTTTGTCCACTCGACTCAAAGAAACTATCATACATCGAAAGCCATAGGGACTAACCCTTTAATATAGGGACAGTGGCCTTGCATTATCACAATGCGGATTCAGTTATATACCACCTCGGAGGAAATTTCGGAACCAAAAAAAAAATATGAAAGTCTCTCCATCGGTTTCGACTTGAGAAGCCGAGGCGCTGATTGGCGGATTTGGTCATTGGTTCACCACGCGTTACCTCCATGGTTATTCTCGGGCAGGGAGATAAATTACAGAGGCAAAAATTAACGTTTATTCAGTCACATAAACTTTGCACAATTCCCACAACATAAAAAGTATTGTACAAGTCGAAATAAAGAAACAATCGGTCATGCATGTTCGTGGTGTAATAAATATACAAATGAAAGTATACACATTTGCGGCCAAATATGATGGCTTTATATTAGTAAAGGTATGTGAAAACATGGAGCTGTGTGATTTCAATGTTCTGTCTACACCAACATCCCATGTACGCACTTAGTCGGATCTGCGTCCGAAAGGTCTCGGTGCCCTCTTTGCATCCGTAACGGTGTCTTGGAAGCCCAAATGAAGCCGGTTCGTAAGATGCGTCGATACCCATAGCCTTTAGTTGCATGTTCTTTCCCTACTATCACAATTGGATCTGGTAATGTCTCCAGAATGTCTGGAAAAGGCCGACGACAGTGCCGAGGACAGCAGGTGCGAATTTCTGTTGAGGAAAAACTTGAAACTGAAAACAAAGAGAAAGATAGCATCAGTCTAGCTGGTCCTCGTGCATGTGTGAAATACATTTGTACATGGGGTTCTGAGGCCCGATCCACAAAGCGTTCATTCATAAGCCTATGATAAACTGTATAGTTTAGATCGTAACATTACAAACCCTGGATTACATTTCCCCGAAGAGTTTTGTTTAATAATAATAATAATGTCATCTTCTATAGCGCACAGTCTCCAAACACCAAGTGATTGCTCACGGCGCTTAATCAGAATCTGATTCTTATTACCCGGATAACCCAAGCTGCCTGTTAGGCGCTAGAAGGTTATAGTCACATGACTTTATCCAACCGGGTACCCATTTTCTGCTGGGTGAACAGAGGCAATTTGCAACAAACTCACTTGCCTAAGGTGAGACCACATGTATCACATGTGCTTCGTCTAAAGAAGGATTCGATCACCGACGCGTACTCTCAACAAAGGCATACTATCTGGTACCTGTTACAACAAATGCAAGCGATATCGGACACATATTCCCCAAACAATTGGATCCTATATTCAACGTAAACTCGGGGCTTTTCATTCCAACTGAAACACATGTATGAGATATCAGACATATATTCCCAGTACAATCATGTTGCGACTGACAACCTCCCTTCCCAATACACAGTTGTAATGTCAGGCACCAACAAGTATTCCCAACAAAAGGATTTGACATTTGCCCTCTAATTCCTACACAAACGTGACATTTCACTTCGATCCATTCACAAACTTGTCATTAAACACATGTTCCCAATACGAGCATTGACATTTGACATATTTTTACCAGACAGCTTCGAAAATCTAGGCCCTGGATATGATACTGACATTTATGCGACAGAGTGAGTGAGTCAAGTTTTACGCCGCTTTTAGCAATATTCCAGCAATGTCACGGCGGGGGATACCAGAAATGGTCTTCACACATTGTACCCTTGTGGGGAATCGAACTGGGATTTCGGTGTGACGAGCGAACGCGTTAACCACAAGGCTACCCCGCCGCCCCTTACATTACAAAGCAAGCAGTTTGAGATTTTTGTAATTACAAAATAGAATACCTATTTTCTTAAACAGAGGGCACTATTATTCTCATCAAGATCTGACCCTTAACAGTTTTCGAAACTATTGAAAAAGCATATAACCCTATGACTACAACCACTCTGAATCAGGCTAGCTATTCTCGAAACTTCGTAAGTCCTACGAACTTCTTAAGCCGATTCTTAACACATTGGCTACGATCAAAGTTAAGAATTCTTAGGGCTACGAACGTTTCGAGAATAAGGGCCCTGCTCAACACAAATGCCCTCCAATATGCCTCCTTCAGTAACCCATGCTTGTCGTAAGAGGCGACTAACGGGATCGGGTGGTCAGGCTCGCTGACTTTGTTGACACATGTCATCGTAATTACACAGATCGATGCTCATGCTGTTGATCACTGGATTGTCTGGTCCAGACTCGATTATTTACAGACCGCCGCCATATAGCTGGAATATTGCTGAGTGCGGCGTAAAACTGAACTCACTCACTCCTTCATGAATAATCAGATAATACCTGTGAAGATAACCAGCAAATCAACTCTGACTTAAAAAAGCCCTTTCCAAGAAGAAAATCTTCAACAGTTTTAAAGAGCCCAAATCAACTTGTCCGATTGGGCTGGAAATGAATTGTTAAAATATCTCGTCCATCACTGAAGCTCGGAGTTTTCACTGAAAATGGGGAATTACGTATGTATAGTCCGTTTGAATGGTTAGGGGCAGGATTTTATCACTACTGAAAATTTGCAAAAGAAAGGTGACAGCCAGACTCGTCGATCACTGGTTTTCACTGAAAATGGGTAATTACGAGAAGCACGTTCACAGACAAAGTTATTTATTCATTAACCTGTGCTGTGCCGTCTCCATCCGTTCTCGAACACCTGGCTGTCCCTTTCTCTGCACTCCTTCCTCGTAACAAATAGTGAACTGTGTCAATATTTTAATGATAGATTGTTAAACAACTTTTTTATTTTTAGGACAAAAATTCTGCAAAAACCTCACAGAGTTGGTATGATGTTTTGAATATGATCGGCGTTTCATTGAGTATTTTATGTTTATTAGTTTTCGAGTTAGATTGCAATTCATCGGTCCGCTTTTGAGCCAAACGCACTATAAAAGCAATCGTGGGACACATTTTCAGAGTAGTTGTGACTATCTTCCTATTTCCTACAGCTATTAATAGTTCTAACTTACATAATCATAAAGACATAAATTCCAATAATAGGAATCCAGGGGGACACATTCTGAATACTTGAACCTAACTGACGTAGACAGGTTTTAAACTACAGGTCCTCTTTATCTATCACCATTTTACGGTTGGGTGATTTCAGACCTGGTGTGGTTCCCTTGGCACAGATTCTTGGGTATGTTATGCATAAATACACATGGCCTCTCCCAAACTGAGATCGAATCACACGTATTCTAGAGGACGGACCGACTCAACGGATATGAATCCTTTCTCCTTTCTGTACAACCCACGTTAACATGGATTATATACAACTAATATATATTACTGCATTCTAATTGAATAAGCAAATACAATCATCCTAATGCTGAATTAAATATATACATATTTTTTAGAAAATTTTAACAATTTTCTCTCATTTTTAATGCTTTTTGCCTCAAAATGACAATTTCCCCAGGGTTGATTTGGGTTGGGTTTTTTATGGTGAATATGCATTACTGTTGGAGCCGTTTGAACAAAAAACTTGCTTGTTATCGCAAATGTCCGGGTTCTTCGACAATTCTACTGGCCTATGTAGCGTCAGTTCTACTTATTTCAAATGCAGATATGGTATGTCCAGTGTATTCTTGTGAGATTCAACTGCAAGAATAACTGGGTAGCTTCGTGATAGTAGTGTCTTTAAAGGTAAACCTTGCATGGTTACATCACCCTGGTAGTATGTATTTACGGTGAATTACTAACCGATACACAAGCCTTTTGATTGTTATCCAGGTTGAGGAAAATAAGATTCCACGTAAAATAATGGCGTCAGCTTTGGCTGCACCTGTGCCAGTCGAGAGAAAATAAACATGTCGTAATCAGCGTGATGTTGGAGAAAGGACAAGTTGGCACGATCATTAGAATTTGACAAATGTCAGTTTTCAGTGCAATTTTCATATCATACGCCATATTAACCCAAGACTTCGAGGACCGAAGCCAAGCGGGCTGACATAGGGTCCAGGACTGATGTGAGGCTTTTGAAAGCAGCCGAATAAAAACCGTTTTATCATATACGAAAGCATAAACGTGTGAAATGTACCTATTTGATTACAAATGAACATATTTTCACCTTGTGTGGAAGACATTTGCACTGGAAGGCCAGCCGAGCAGACGACGCACCAAGGGACGTAACTCTAATTTCTTGACGCGCTGTCTGATATCGATCGGCCAATCAAAAAGCATTGACAAGACATTTCAGGCCGACAGTTCGTCTGATACGGCTCTGGTTACTTCGCCCCTGTTACTTGATCGTCTACATTAGGCTCTGTAGCATCACTGACATACATATGATCATTGATGTGATTTGTTTGTTTGGTTAATTTGTTTATTGTTTGTTTAACGCCGGACTCTGCAATATTCCTGTAAATGATCAAGTCTCGACCAGACAATCCAGTGATCAACATTATGAGCATTGACCAACGCAATTGGGACCGATGACATGTGTCAACCCAGTCAGCGAGACTGACCACCATATCCCGTTAGTTGCCTCTAACGACAATCATGCATGGGTTGCTGAAGATCAATTCTAACCCGGATCTTCAAGGGTGATAACTGATGTGAAACTTTGAAGCCCCTGGGCACGCCTAGTATACCCACTTTGTCATTGATAGCAACAATGTTTGATTGAAATTTTGGGAGTGTAAATAAGGAAAGTAAATGAGCGATTGAGTTTAGGTTAACGCCACTTTGAACAATATTTCATTCATATCTTGGCGGATTAGGTACATGTGGCAGGAAATCATGAACAGACGCGTGTGTGAGTGTGTGCGTGCGTGCGTGCGTGCGTGCGTGCGTGTATGTGTTGGTGTGTGTGTGTGTGAGTTTGATGATGATATTAAGGGGGTCACCCATTTTGTTCTTGGGGAGGTAAAGGGGGTCAGCAATTTTGTACACATGTACGGGGGTGGGGGATGGGAGGGGGGAGCATTTCTTTTTAACATAAAAGCATTAAAGCATTATGCTTAACAATTAGGTGGGTGGGGGAACATTGATTTTGTACATATTTTTATCATCCATAAACATTATCATCACTATCCCCAGGCCATATATTTTGAACGGTCCCTTATTACACACGTGTTTGTGATCGATGGGATTCAAATTAAGGGACGAAGCTGAAAATGAACTTTAAAACAGACATGTTACGTTGTACAGGATGTACGGGATGAAAGTCACAAGACGGACGTGCGTTATTATACCATTCACACTGGGTACAAAGTTATTCAATGGTACGAGGTTGTATAACTCTTTAAGTGAGTGAGTGATTTGGGTTTTGCCCAGCCTTTATCAACATCTGCGATACTGGGATTGAAATTAAGAAAAACGACTCGACAGGCGATGGTTATGGTTTTTACCGCTGGCTTGATGATGATGATGATGATGATGATGAAACCCACGATTACGATAAAGTGATGGCACACCTAAAACATTATCAGGGAAAATCTTGGAACAGAGCGAGCGAACATTTTAAGCTCTGCCCTTGATGAGTGAGTGAGTTTAGTTTTACGCCGCACTCAGCAGTATTCCAGCTATATGGCGGTGGCCTTGATGATGATGATGATGATGATGATGATGATGATGATGATCATCATCATCATCATTCAACTAGCACTTCCTTTGAAAGTCGGCCCCAGAGTTTACTTCGCTTCCAGATGAGAAGACGTGTTAAAACAGATGTTCTGCGATTCGCATTGATTGTACAGCAGCTGAATACAAAAATAAAAACCCGACACATCTACTTCAATTAATTCACTGTCTATCACCCACGAAAAAAAACGCGTATATGTGCAAATAACATGTTCACACCTGTGGAGATCGTTAATGATAAACCGGTATCGTGGGGTGTAGGTAACGCCATGCACGGTGAGAGAAGCAATGATCACATGAAAACCTGTCCGTTTTGATCATTTCTGGCAGTCTCACATTAACTTGCAATCCAGCAGCTTGATTAAAATATGCAACAAACTGATTCCACTTTTTGTAGAGGGGCGGTGGGGTAGCCTACTGGTTTAAGCGTTCGCTCGTCACGCCGAAGGCCCGGGTTCGATTCTCCACATGGGGAGTATGGTTTCACGACGCTTTTAGCAATATTCCAGCAATATCACGGCAGGGTACACCAGAAACGGGCTTCACACATTGTACATATGTGGGGAATCGAACCGGGTATTCGGTTTGACGCGCGAAAGTTTAAACTAACATACAATTCCACCGCCCCACCTTCTGTGATGAGTGAGTGAGTTAGTTTAGTTTTACGCTGCTTTTAGCAATATTCCAGCAATATCACGACGGGGGACATCAGAAATTGGCCCTTCTGTGATGAATTAACCACCATAATACAATGTAAATGATTCCATTTAATAACGTTTATTGATATTTGTATTTGACAAGAGAGAACTTTAACTTATATTACTATTGTTTATCACAATATTATTATTGTTTAATAAGCATTTGTTTAATTGCCTAATTACGATGGCATTGAATAATATTATTTGTAAGATGTTTAGCTAAAAGATCCAAGGCGCCGACAGTTATTTATCAGACGATAAACAGCTGGCGGTGGGCTAGCCTTGTGGTTAAAGCGAGCACATATTTGCGGGAAGGTGTGTCTCAAGAGAAATACCTATTATAATTATTTACAGATTATTATATATAAGTGCAGAAAAGATGGCTCGTGCGATCCTGACCCTCGTCTCATTCACACACACGTTCACGTTCATGGTCGACGTCGACGTTGTCGCTGGTCATGCAGCGCCCGTTGTCGACGTCACGAAAAGCTATGCAGCCGTTTCTCAGATCACCTGTGACAGTTTCTATGTCTGACCACGTCGGTCAAGTTTTCGCGAGGTTACTGCATGGTCAATCGGTAACCCAAACATAACAAGTCTGGAAATCTGACATCCTCACACAAATAACCTGAATACAAACCTAACACAAAAATCCAGAACACCTGCTACCCTATCAACATACCCGAACACAACAAATCTGAATACCTGGTACCTTTACACAACAACCCGAATACATGGTACCCTAACACAGCAAGCCTGAATACCTGGTACCACAACACAACAAACCTGAAAACATCGTATCTTAAAACATCAAGCCAGAAAACCTGGTACCCTAAAACAACAAACCTAAATATCTGGCAGCATAACATAACAAGAAAGAAAACCTGATACCCTTGGTACAACTTAGCTACCTCAATTCTACACACAGATGCATTCAGTAAGCAGTGCATTTGTATCCCTGATCCCCTCGATACTGTATTTCCTCTAATAAGCGCCCGGGTATTTATCTTTACAACTGACTTCCAGACCCGGCGCTTATTAGAGATCCGTCGCTTACTTGGTGTAATTTATTATTCCTTAACGGTTGCTTTACACGCACGCACGCATGCACGCACGCACGCACGCACGCACACACACACACACACACACACACACGCGCTTATTAGAGGTCCGGCGCTTATTAGAGTAAATACGGTATGTCTTACGCCGTCCCAATCTACTACACCGAAACGACGTTCACAATAGCACAGGGGATATTCTACCCCGGATGCCTCAGGGGTTAAATACAAATTTAACCCTTTGGTGAAACTCCCGATCATGGGTATGCCGTTGACAAAAACCAGAAACAAAATCATGCGAACTAAAATTCGGATAAAGCCCTTACATCATAACCGAACATATTCCTGAGGATCTTTTTGTTGAGGGCATTATGCAGGTAAGATGATGTGACAGGAAGGCTGCTGATTGGTATCTCGAAATATAACCAGGACAAACAGGGATTCGTTCTGAATATATATAATTTTGAACCAACCATAGATTTCTGGCATCACCAAGGGACGCAACTCCGCACAGTGAATTGCTTCGCCTTGTATAACTGGGGCCCATAGCCCACGTAAGACATGTGGGCTTGCCTTGAAAAGTGAGAACATTGTATTGGCACCTTCCACAGTCCGATAAATAGCAACCAGTCCGCCTGACCCCACGGGGTTTGGAGGGCGTGAACGTGTGAAATACAGGAGACAGTAAAGTCACACGAAGAGAGCAATTGCATCTCTCGCCTAATTTACACCGTCAGTTTCATCAATAACGATATCACTATATATATCATGAGCAAATTATACTTTTTAGGCCCGAGTTTCTACGTTGACCAGGTAAGATTGATAGGAATTTCTTTCTCATTTTACGTATTGTCAGAAATTTAAGTAACTGTCATCATGTTTATATTTATCAAAATGTGTGCACATTATTTTTGTCACTCTGACCCCATCGTTGTGTTGAAATGTTAAAATTATATTGATTGCCTATTTTTTCTGACTTTCTTGACACCCGTGAAGGTCCGGGTTAGAATATTGATCTTCAGTAACCCATGGTTGTCGTAAGAGGAGACTAACGGGATCGCGTGGTAAGGCTTGCTGACTTGGTTGACACATGTCATCGTATCCCAATTGCGCAGATCGATGCTCATGCTGTTGATCACTGGATTGTCTGGTCCAGACTCGATTATTTACAGACCGCCGCCATTTATACTCCCAATCAAAAGTTTAGACTCACTTGTGTAAATGTCAACTGTTCTAAAATACATTTTGCAAAACTTTCCACACTGTTTAAAGGTAATGTTTACACATGAACTGATGTATTGTAAAACACATTTGTAACGTTGAAAAGATTATTGTCATGAGTTCAATAAAGGATGAAACTCGTAACGAATTCGTAACAAACCTTTACACCAAAACGCAGCTGTTCACATGCACGATATTTGCACATGCATGATCCCCGCGCAAATTCATCTGCATAAGGTTTTCTGTTGGTTCCCCCAAGTTAGTGGAGAAATTCATCTTCGATGTAACCATACATATATACATAACATATAGTGAGTGCTTTAAGTGAGTCTAAACTTTTGATGGGAAGTATAGCTGGAATATTGCTGAGTGCGGCGTAAAACAAAACTCACTCACTCACTTTCTTGATATTTAATGATAAGTCAATGTTTTATGTTCTGCGGGAAATGTATCATCCCCATTGAACATCAGTGATCATATGAAATTTTACAGGAAAATAACATTTGAGCCGTGTCTTATCCTGACAAACATGGCATTTGCTTTCAAAACACTCCAATTTTACACTGGTGAGGTTTTTTGTATTTGCTCAGAAAATTAATTAATGGTAAAGTGAGGATGGCTCGACGAGTCATACCTCCGCTGTCTTGCCTTGCCTTCTCACCTAGGAGCACACTGTAGTTTACTGAGTTAGTGAGTTTAGTTTTATGCCGCTTTTATCAATATTCCAGCAAGATCACGGCAGGGGACACCAGAAATGGGCTTCACACATCGTACCCATGTGAAGAATTGAACACTGCTTTTTGCAATATTCCAGCAATATCACGGCAGGGGACACCAGAAATGGGTTTCACACATTGTACCCATATGGGGAATCGAACCCAGCAACCCCACCGCCCCCTCAGTAGTAGTAGTAGTAGTATTAGTAGTAGTAGTAGAAGACCGAGTTGGCATGAACGGACAACGAATGGTGTTGTTAAAGATCTCGTTGAGACAGAACATGTGGGTAGTTTAAAGCAAATGTAGCTAAGTGGGCAAGTGGGGTCGCCAGTAGTGGCAGGGATGGGCGAGTAGTTTAGCCTGCAGCAAGAACAAAATTTACAAGAAAATATTCCGCTGAAAGAAGGCAGACATAAGAGAATAATAAGCAAAACATATCGGTTCCAACACTACTGATAAGCAGAGATGGAATGTTACCGCTGAAAGCAGGAGTCTGTAAATTTAAAATATTAATAATAAAAAAAGCAAAAACTTTCAGGTTCGGCTAACACGCAAGTTTTGAATGAAGTGTTTCAGTTTCAGCGATGCCCTCACGAATGATGATAGTCTTACTATTAGCAATACTCCCTGTGGTTGCCATGGAGAATACAACCACTGTGGAGCCTGCGGGCCAGCACGACAACCTTACGACTTCAAACAACCATACACGACTGAATGGATCGCTTATCGAGGACACAACCAACACCACCGATGGGGGTGACGACATCGCCGACGGAAACAAGAAGATAGCTCGGGTCGACTATATCGGCTATGTTATAGTGCCACTTTTCTTCATCCTCGGCATCTGCGGTAACACACTCACCATCACCGTCATGCTCGGAAAGAAGTTCAGGGCGAGAACCAGCAGCCTCATCCTCATCGCGCTCTCTGTGTCTGACATGATCTACACCTTTATCATGCCCTTCAACAAAAAATTCCTCCGGAATATGTTGGGTTTCGATGTAAGAGCCTTATCCTCTTTTGGCTGCTCTCTCTTCTTCATCGTCCACAAGACCAGCAAGATGTCTTCATCCTGGTTCATTGTCTTCATCAGCTTTGAAAGGTTCATCGCCATAGTTTTTCCTCTCAAGACGAAATTAATCTGCACGAAAAGGAACACCACCATAGGCATAGTCATCGTCTTCATCGGACAGCTCATCTTCAATGGTATATGGGACTTCAATACCAAGGTAGTCAATGGCATCTGCATCCCCAACTATGGAACCCCAGAGACGGCCGTCCTCAGCAAGACATACCTGGTCATTGGAACCTTCCTGTATTCATTACTTCCGGTAGGCATCCTTCTGGTTCTGACGCCGATTACAGTCTTCATGCTTGCGCGCCGGGCTTCGAAAAGACGGGCCATAACCAGCAACAAAACCCTCAGAGATGATACGGTTAAACTGACAACCATGTTGATTGGAGTCACCATCGCCTTCATCATCCTCGTGACACCCATCTCTATCGCCCACAACGTCTCCTTCGCCCTTGGAGAGAATATCTTTGAGACCCAACACTTTGGGATGATGGTGGCTCGAGAGATCCTACAGGTGATAGTTTGTTGTATTCGATACACCGAATGTATAGCGTGCCTTTGTGACTTGTAAATGCCTGTAAATTGCCTCTTTACAAACCAAAACAGTTTGGCTTTGTATTTGCACTAAAATATATATATTTACAAGCTTCAACAAACATGAATATAAATGCAACTGCAACAAATATGAATATAACATGTAACTTTTCAAATATTTACCTTTTTTCAACAAAATTGCAATTGTTTAAAGGTGATGTTTTCTTCAAGGTCTTTTTCATGTTGCAATTTGTTAATTTTGTGGAGACAGAAACTTAGAGACTTTTTTTATGAAAGAGGGAATAGTTTCAGTATGATCCTCTTCAATTAATAACTGTCATTATATTTTGTGTCTCACTGTACTTGAAACAACAATTTTCACACTGATCTTTCCTCGGCAAGGCTCTGTTATCAGAAACCCACATCCGGCACTAATGTATCAATCGTTCCCCCTCTTCCCTTTTCGTAATCGGAACCACGCGAGTGTTGTCGAGTTCTGCTGTTTTCTGAGAACCTGCCATTCTTTTTTTACAGGTCATGGAACAATTGAATTACTCCATCAACTTCCTGCTTTATGTCATGTGCAGTGCGGACTTCCGGAAGAGATTGGCCGAACTGTTCTGTCAGGTACGGAGCACCAAATCAGCAAACAAGGCATGCTCTGCGAAAAGGACTGCGTCGACCTCCAACAAAGTTACCGACACCGAGGAACAGGCCTCTTAGATCCAACTGACAGGTGTCTGGAAGATTAAACGTGTATCCGTCTAATTAATGGTCATGTGTAACTGGAATGTATGTTTTTTATTACTAGTAACGTGGGGCGGTGGGGTAGCCTAGCGCCACGCCTCAGACCCGGGGTCAGGTTCACCACATGGGTACAATGTGTGAAACCAATTTCTTGCACACCCCGCCGTGATATTGCTGGAATATTGCCAAAAGCGGCGTAAAACCAGTTCACTCACTCATTCTTATCTTAGATCCAACTGACAGGTGTCTGGATTCCCCGTGAAAGTTCCAGGGTAATTTATTGGTTGTTTACACTGATATTTTTGAAGAGTTGGTAAACAGGATGCCAGGACAAATTATTTCGACAAATTGGCGATTAGGAAGTCCCCGAGAGTGTGGGTTTGAATCCCGGCTGTGACTCAGCCACATAAAAGTACTAGAATATGTACTTCATTGACAAAGTGTAATCACAAATATGATATATGCTACATTTGACTACTTTCTAAATGGCATTGTGTATTCATAAATAGGAGGCCATTAATCGTATTTAATGCGGTTCATTGTCACGTTTGTTTATTGCGTTGCTCATTTGTGACGTCATTTTGTTGTGAAAACCAATTGCTTATCCATGAAAAACACATTTGGTGGTCTGACTAAAATGATCGGTAATCGGAAATATCGTCGATAGGAAAAATTATTTGATTATCGATATTGAAATTGTGCTATCGATAATTTCGCACATTACATTTTGCGATAGAAAAAAGGTTTAACTTTCTCACAATATCCAATTTTAGGACTGCATGGTCTGCTTCTAAATCTTGTTCTGTTTTGTTAATAATCCACGCAAAAACATGTCACCACTCACCGGTTATGGGAAATATATTCATGTTGACAGATTTGGTCATTTATCGATAATCAATCAATATTTAGTGACGATTATCGATTATCGATGTCTATTATCTATATCGATAGCCAGCCCTAGTCAGTATTACACTATCTTGACCAAAACTTATAATTAGTGTACACAAGGAACTGAAGGAATGGGCTTTGTCGGTTTTTTATTTGCTCATGAAGTCCAAATGCTCCTCAGGAAATATTTTTCGGGGAGAGGGGATGGCACTTTATGGGTCCGCACCCCAGCAAAAAACATGAGGTTTTACACATACTTTTCTTTTTGTGTCACACACACACACACACACACACACATAGGCTGACACACACACACACAAACCCACACACACACACAAACACACACACAGGATCGGTGTAGGGGTGGGTTTATTTGCTCAAAACACAAACACACCTCAGGACAAACACACATGGGGTGGGTCACAAGCAAACACACAAACACACGCGCGCACGCACGCACGCACACGCACCTCCACCCACCACGTCACACCACACAAACACACACACACACCCCACACCCCGTATCCGCCCCTGACCAAGCACCTAGTCACCTAGTGCTACGACTAGGTTAAGCTTATGTTGGAGAATGGGAGTTACAATCATTGTAGCGCTAAGATCGCTTTGTGCAAGTGGGCCCTGGTCGCCTCGAAGGTCATTCATGGATTACAGGAGACCATGAGGTCCTCGGGGTTTGGTCATTAGCTGCCTTAAATGCTCTTTCTAATAAGTTTGGTCATAACTCGGACTTTAATAAAAATGTGAAAGAATGTAACTCTTCATTGGACATTTTTTTTAATATGTGTATCGTTTTAATTTGATCATAACAACCCCCACGATGTGTCCGTATTATTGCTGTGCCTCTGCAACCTATGCAAAACGTAATATACGTTTGTTGTTTGGGCAATTTATCTGGGCCCCGTTCCTCAAAGCGATCGTATCTCTACGACAGTCGTAAGTCTATGTTAAAGAATGGGAGTTACGACCATCTTAGCGCTACGATCGCCTTGAAGAACGGGGCCCAGGGTCCGGTTCCACAAGATGATCGTAACTCCCACACTTTAACATAGACTTACGACTGTCGTAGAGATACGATCGCTTTGAGGAACGGGGCCCAGATCGGGTGGGAAGGACCTCGTTCCACAAGACAACCGTAGCTGAAGAGATCGTAATCAATACATTAAGATAGACTTACGACTGTCGCAGCCGACTATGGCGGCTTTGTGAACGGGGTTCAGGCGCGGTGACGTAACTCATCCGTGCCAAAGTTCGTCCGACATGGCTCGCTGGTCTACTTCAGGCCCGATTGTGACAAAGATGGAGTGTGGTTGATTGCGGCATAAATTAACCTTCACTCAGGCCGTCACTGGACCATTAGGGGGCGGTGGGGTAGCAAAGTGGTTAAAGCGTTCGCTCGTCACGCCGAAGGCCCGGGTTCGATTCCCCACATGGGTACAATGTATGAAACCCATTTCTGGTGTCCTCCGTCGTGACATTCCTGGAATATTGCTAAAAGCAGCGTAAAACCATACTCACTCACTCACCACCTGACCAAATATAGTGATTGTGAAGCTAATTTGTCACAGGTAATACAACACACGTTTCCATGTCCGGCTTTATTTTCTACTGGGGCAACCCAGTGTAAACGTTCAGAAGCAGCGTGTTTAACTTGACTGACAGCAAGTCTTAATTTCAACGGATTTTGTTTCGAGATTGTTAACAGTAATGAGCCCTTCACGTATTGATTTGCCAAATCCTTTTGACATTTTCCATGCCAATAAAATATGTTTAAATACAAAATGCATCGCCTTTGAATGTTTTAGATTTCATTAACTGGTGTATTAACTCGTGCAATATTACACTAATACCACGGCGACCAGAAGTCAGCAATGTTACATTTATACCAAGGCTGCATAAAAAGTCAGCAATAGTAGTACATTTATACCACAACGGCATATAGGCAATAATATTACATTTAAACCAGGGCGGCGCCATACAGCCTACAATATTACATTTATACAACCACGGCATATAGTCAGCAATATTACATTTATACCACAACTGCATGTAGTCAGCAATATTACATTTATACCACGGCGGTATACAGTCAACATCATTACATTTATACCAGGGCGGCATATAACGAATACTAACGCCCCCATAAATTATGATCGGTCCCTAACACAGCAGTACACAGTCAGCAACTTTACAGTTATAAGGTCTGTAGTCAAAAGCTGACACCCAGCCATCTTGACCCAGCAATGACATAGGTCACAGCGACCCAGCTGTTGGCAGTGTAAAAAAACAACCTCAAAACGTAAACAAATCACGACTGGCAGTGGGCGTGGCACTATCAGCTGATCGTCGACAGCTATTAGTCGTGGCAAGCATCTCTACAAGGCTCATACCTTGTGTCGTCACTCAACTATTTCTAAACTGATGTTATTGCCAACAATTGCCATTTCCGAGAACCAACGGAAATAGTCGAGGCAAATTACCCGGTAGTTCTACTTTTGGTTTGACTTTTATACCCGGAAGTGCCGTCTCAGTGCGATGGATACAGATCAACTCTACAGAGACAAACTGATCACAGTACTCGACAGTGTCCGAATCCACAATATAACAACGAACTTGATGATTTGGAAGAGTTACAAATGGACTACAGTCTTGTCGTGAGACCGTGAATATTTAAAGCACTGTGACGTGAGTATTTCGAACGAAATAGGAGCGATCGTAATTTAGTATTTTCTTGTTCTACGCCTTTGAACAGATCAAGGGAAAACCTGTAATTAGGCTGTATACAGGTGTTTGAACAGGGTTGGAGTTTTGCAAAAGAGTAAGAGATATTATTTAATATACATATATCACCTGTTTTGGTTTTTTGTTTTTTTCTTTTTTAGGGGTGGGGTCGGTTTGGGTTGTATTTTGTTTTAAATGCATTCTGGTTTGTTTTTTTCATTTAGATTATTTAATTCATAAAGTATGACATTTGTGTCACAGCCACACTGTCTCCACCTCCAGGTTTTACAAAACTGTATGTTTTTAATCAGCATTCAACAGCTATTGCATGTTTATACATGCACCTACAAGCGACAGTGCATATATATTGATTAGCTAAACCAGGTCTTTGTAATGCAGGAAACTAAACACACTATCAGTGTGTGAAATAACCACTGGCCCTCTAGCCTGTGGCTAGTAAAATTCCAGGTGGACCAGTAAATCTCAGCAGTCACTGGCCCGACTGGCTGCTGAATTTTCATGGGGTCGTTTTGTAAATATATCACTCCCGACTTGTTAATTATACTACACTTTTAAATCATATAAGATAATGGCCTTATAAAAATGTTCATCATATGAACAGCATTCAAATTTGGGGCTAGTTATTTTTTCTGTGGGCTAGTAACTTTCAGGCATAGCTAGCCCAACTGGCTAGTAAAATTTGGAAACTATTTCGCACACTGCACACTATGCCAATCATAACATGTCTGCTTTTGAAGAGTTTCTTAACGCTTTTACTTCCTATACGAAGTGAAAGTTCAGGTTCCCCTACTATTTTTGAGTGTTTACTTTTTGTTTCATTTCTATGAAATCATCTATTGTGTCAACTATTGTGTCAGTTCCAGGATATGATCTCAAAATACGTGATTATCAGTATGTCAGTTGTACCTTGAACTCGTTACTGCATAGGCTCTATATACCTCACAGTGACACTGACTTACTAATCTCCCAATCCTCCAGTAGTGTAAACAGGTGAGTTTCGTTTATGTTGATTGTGATCATTCATGTAATATGAGTTTCATTCACCCATTTATTTCTTTTGATTTCATTCCTTTTCATTCATTCATTTTGACAGTGATTTTTTCATATAAACAGAGTTTCTTTCATATATTTCTTTCTTTTGATTGTTCATGTAATGTCAGTTTTTAAGTATTCATTCCTTTCCAGGGTTCAAAATACTCCATATATTAGTGTGCCATGGCACGGTAAATATTGAAATGGCATGGATAAAAAATGTTCTCGGTGCCCTTATGGCACGCCTAAGTTTTTAGAGATATAACTCACCTTTAGTCATTTAATCCCCAAAACAAAACATGCACACAAGTGACAAACAATCAAAAACATTTATTGACTTTATTGCTCAGGAAATCACTGGAATTATGATGGATGATGTACGGAAAGCTGCTTGTTTATCCATTTAGAGTGATGGGAGTACTGATAGTTCGGTTATTGAAGAGGAAATTGTGTATGTTAGATATATTGAGCAAGTGAACCTGTCACACAATTTTTAGCTATTAAAGGTGTTGGGAAAGCAGAACAAATGAAGTTTAAGGAAGCCATCTTAAACAGAAAACAGGTTCCATTTGTTGTTTACTAACAATATATTTCAAGTGATCATCATCATTGCTACAGTCGTTTATTCTAAAAACGTGGGCACACTTGATTTCTGAAAGGCACTTCTAAAATATTTGTCTGGTGCCCTAAGGCACACTTAGAAAAAAGTATTTCTATCCCTGCTTTCCATTGTGACAGGTCATTAAGCACAAATGTGATTGATTGATGACACAAGTTTTATTTGTGAATTGTTGTGATCTATTTTTATCAATGAAACCTGGTGAATGTATTTCATTTATTATAATCATGTTGATTGTCCATAATTTATTATGAGCTGCTTGTTCGTTATCACTTATAGACATAGCGCAGTGAACCATTCATTCGTTTGTTCATTCATTCATCCAGGTTGGGAAGTGTTCTCTGCAGTATCAGCTGCCGGTGCAACAATCGGCTGTTTGTGGGTTCCGACACATTCCAGTTTTGATCAAAGCAGCAAAATATATTCACACTTATGTATTATCCCTGATGACAATGTTGATGGCTGTGGATATGGGAGGATCTGGATCTTTATAAATCATTTCTACTGTGTGGCACATAAGCATATTTACACAACAATATTTTCATCATGCACATATTTCAATACTGATACAGCACACACACCTCTCCAGGGACAACTCACACACACCTCTACAGAGACCTCACACACGCCTCTACAGTGACATCACACAAACCTCTACAGTGAGATCACACACACCTCTGCAGTGACATCACCAACACCTCTACAGTGACATCACACACACCTCTACAGTGACATCACACACACCTCTACAGTAACATCACACACACACCTCTACAGTGACATCACACACACACACCTCTACAGTGACATCACACACACACCTCTACAGTGACATCACACACACACACACCTCTACAGTGACAGCACACACACCTCTACAGTGACATCACAAAGACCTCTACAGTGACACCTCACACACACATCTACAGTGACATCACACACCTCTACAGTGACATCATACACACACCTCTACAGTGACACCTCACATACACCTCTACAGTGACATCACACAAACCTCTACAGTGACATCACACACACCTCTACGGTAACATAACACACACCTCTACAGTGACATCACACACACCTCTACAGTGACATCACACACACCTCTACAGTGACACCTCACACACAACTCTACAGTGACACCTCACAGACACCTCTACAGTGACATCACACACACCTCTACAGTGACATCACACACACCTCTACAGTGACACCTCACACACACCTCTACAGTGACATCACACACACCTCTACAGTGACACCTCACACACACCTCTACAGTGACATCACACACACCTCTACGGTGACACCTCACACACCTCTACGGTGACATCACACACACCTCTACAGTGACATCACACACATCCCTGATATCACACACACCTCTACAGTGACATCACACACACCTCTACAGTGACACCTCACACAAACCTCTACAGTGACATCACACACACCTCTACAGTGACATCACACACACCTCTACAGTGACACCTCACACACACCTCTACAGTGACATCACACACACCTCTACGGTGACACCTCACACACCTCTACGGTGACATCACACACACCTCTACAGTGACATCACACACACCCTTGACATCACACACACCTCTGCAGTGACATCACACACACCTCTACAGTGACACCTCACACACACCTCTATGATGACATCACACACGCCTCTACAGTGACATCACACACAACTCTACAGTGACATCACACACACCTCTACAGTGACATCACACACACCTCTACGGTGACACCTCACACACCTCTACGGTGACATCACACACACCTCTACAGTGACATCACACACACCCCTGATATCACACACACCTCTGCAGTGACATCACACACACCTCTACAGTGACACCTCACACACACCTCTATGATGACATCACACACGCCTCTACAGTGACATCACACACAACTCTACAGTGACATCACACACACCTCTACAGTGACATCACACACACCTCTACGGTGACACCTCACACACACCTTACTGGTGACACATCACACACACCTCTACAGTGACATCACACACACACCTCTACAGTGACATCACACACACCTCTACATTACACCACCTCACACACCTCTACAGTGACATCACACACACCTCTACAGTGACACCTCACACACCCCTCTAAAGTGACATCACACACACCTCTATAGTGACACCTCACACACACCTCTACTGTGACATCACACACACCTCTACAGTGACATCACACACACACCTCTACAGTGACACCTCACATACACCTCTACAGTGACGTCACACACACCTCTACAGTGACATCACATACACCTCTAGAGTGACATCACACACACCTCTACGGTGACACCTCACACACCTCTAGGGTGACATCACACACACCTCTACGGTGACACCTCACACACCTCTACAGTGACATCACACACACCTCTATAGTGACACCTCACACACACCTCTACAGTGACATCACACACACCTCTACAGTGACATCACACACACCTCTATAGTGACATCACACACACACCTCTACAGTAACATCACACACACCTCTACAGTGACATCACACACACCTCTACGGTGACATCACACACACCTCTACAGTGACATCACACACACCTCTACGGTGACACCTCACACACCTCTACAGTGACATCACACACACCTCTACGGTGACACCTCACACACCTCTACAGTGACATCACACACACCTCTATAGTGACACCTCACACACACCTCTACAGTGACATCACACACACCTCTACAGTGACATCACACACACCTCTACAGTGACACCTCACACACACCTCTACAGTGACATCACACAAATCTCTACAGTGACATCACACACACCTCTACAGTGACACCTCACACACCTCTACAGTGACATCACACACACCTCTACAGTGACATCACACACACCTCTACAGTGACATCACACACACACCTCTACAGTGACACCTCACATACACCTCTACAGTGACATCACACACACCTCTACAGTGACATCACACACACCTCTACGGTGACATCACACACACCTCTACAGTGACATCACACACACCTCTACAGTGACATCACACACACCTCTACGGTGACATTGCACACACATCTACAGTGACATCACACACACCTCTACAGTGACACCTCACACACCTCTACGGTGACATCACACACACCTCTACAGTGACATCACACACACCTCTACAGTGAGATCACACACACCTCTACGGTAACATAACACACACCTCTACAGTGACATCACACACACCTCTACAGTGACATCACACACCTCTACAGTGACACCTCACACACACCTCTCACGGTAACATAACACACACCTCTACAGTGACATCACACACACCTCTACAGTGACATCACACACCTCTACAGTGACACCTCACACACACCTCTACTATGACACCTCACAGACACCTCTACAGTGACACCGCACACCTCTACAGTGACATCACACACACCTCTACAGTTACACCTCACACACACCTCTGCAGTGACATCACACACACCCCTGATATCACACACACCTCTACAGTGACATCACACACACCTCTACAGTGACACCTCACAAACACCTCTACAGTGACATCACACACACCTCTACAGTGACATCACACACACCTCTACAGTGACCTCACACACACCTATAGTGCACACACACCTCTATCGTCACTACCTTTATACTCACACTGTGTAGTACGTGTAACACTGTGTAGTACGTGTGAAACTGTGTAGTACGTGTGACACTGTGTAGTACGTGTGTTTGTTGATTTGTTTCAGGTTTTCTTCCCAACATGGCTGCAGCTTTCCCACAGGAAAATATCGACATTGATGACTCAGACAACGATGTAAGAGCAATACTGAAGGTTCTCTGTCGCCTTCATGGCTGTTCTGTTGACCTCACTACACTACAGAGAGCTTTTCAACATAATGGTCGTAGAGCTCCAAGAAACCTTCTGGGGCTTCTACAAGACTACAGCAATAACTTCATCCTGGAAGGCAACAGCGTCGCAGCTTTCACAAACCTACAACTCTGCCCCAAACACTGCAAGAGGGATGGGTACTGTGGGGAAGATTACTGTGAGAAACTCCACATCTGCAAATTTTTTCTTCTCTCAAGATGTCGTTTCAGCGATAATGGCATTCCATGTCAATTTGGTCACAATCTGGATTCTGACCACAACAAGGTGATACTTCGACAGAATCTGCTGGACGAACTCACAGATGCAGAAATACAACAATTATTCCAAAGCAGAGAGAGTCGTGGTGTAACAACCATCCCACAGATTTGCAGATTTTATAACCATCTTAAAGGATGCTCGAAAAAAAATGTGTGTCAACATCTGCACATCTGTGAATTCTATGTTAAGGGTACCTGTAAATTTGGCACTGGTTGTAGAAGAAACCATAATATCGACAATCAAGTCAGAAGAGTTTTGTTAAAATTTTGAGTCAGCGTTGATCGGGCAGATAACTCTAACCTACAACCACAACCATTGGACATAGTTGAAGATATCAGCCAAAAACAGACAGCAAGTCCGCAGATAACTCTGAACCTACATCCACAACCATTGAGAAAGGTTCAGTTCTGTGGAGAAACAGACAGTGCTTTGAAATCAATGAGATCCCCGGTCTGAATGCCAATGGAAGTAAGACAGAACATCTCCCGTCAGTGAATGTCCCCATTTTAGAAATGAATGAGCTTTGTGAAGAGTGATCCTACCCATCTGATGAAATCTGTATGTATCATCTTAGAGGACTTGGTTGACATGTCATCGTATCCAAGTTGCTTGTTGATGCTCATGATGTTGATCACTGGATTGTGATTCTCCATATTGGGTACAATGTTTGAAGCCCATTTCTTGTGTCCACCGCCTCGATATTGCTGGAATATTGCTCAAAGTGGCGTTAATGCATACTCACTCACTCGAGAGTTGGTAGAAAATGACCATCTGATAATTGTTTAACTGGAGCCTTGGTGAAAACATGTACGTATGTAATGATCTGATCATGCATTCACTGAAGTTGACTGAAGGTCTGTCTCTACTCAGACACCTAAAATTCAGAATGAATTTGTGCATAGTGTGAGAAAGAAATGTGAAGACAAGTGACTTGCAGTTTCTATGGAGTTTTATTGTTGATGTCATTAAACAAGGTATCACATGTCCTACCAGATACTGGGACCCACCCAACCAAGAGTGAGTGAGTTTAGTTTTACGCCGCACTCTGAAATATTCCAGCTATATGGCGGCGGTCTATAAATAATCGAGTCTGGACCAGAGAATCCGGTGATCAACAGCAGGAGCATCGATCTGCGCAATTGGGAACCGATGACACGTGTCAACAAAGTCAGCGAACCTGACCACTCGATCCCGTTAGTCGCCTCTTACGACAAGCATGGGTTACTGAAGGCACATTCTAACCCGGACCTTCACGGGACCCACCCAACCAAGAACCAAGAGTTACTAGTCCCAGCCATACATTCAATCATACATTCAAAAGGCCTTGATGCAAAGATTCACCATGGTCCCAATTTAACATCAGGGATGAACGTCAAAATACTATAACGTTCCTGCTGCAGAAATTGTATACAAGTCACTATTGTAACAAAGGGCATAGATTCTGTGTACCAGCTACTTAAGGGGCGGTGGCGTAGCCACGTGGTTTAAGCAATCGCTCGTCACGCTGAAGACCCGGGTTTGATTCCCCACATGGGTACAAATTGTGAAGCCCATTTCTAGTGTCCCTCGGGGTGACATTGCAGGAATATTGCTAAAAGTGGCATAAAACCAAACTCAGGCAATCAGGTCAGCTACTTTAGTCAATATCAAATAGAACATGTTGGATTGACAGGTTACTTTCATCCGATATTGCATTGGATGTTGCAGACTATTGCTAACAGATTGACCTTATAAACTAACACTGCTGACTGTCCTAAATAACAAACTTGCATATTTCTTTAATATGTCAATCAAAAGGTTGACCTGATATAGCTGTGACACTGCTGGGGCGGTAGGGTAGCCTAGTGGTTAAAGCGTTCGCTTGTCATGCCAAACATTCAATTCCCCACATGGGTACAATGTTTGAAGCCCATTTCTGGTGACCCCACCATGATATTCCTGGAATATTGCTAAAAGCAGCGTAAAACTAAACTCACTCAGTCACTATAACAGTGCTGACTGTGTCCTGACAAACTTACTCATTACTTATGTTACAGACTATCATTGACAGACTGATCTGTAACAATGTTGATTGTGTCCTAAATGACAAACTTACTCATTACTTATTATGTTACAGACTATCATTGACAGATTGACCTGATATAGCTGTAACAATGTTGATTGTGTCCTAAATGACAAACCTAAACATTACTTAATATACTACACATCAAAAGTTTAGACTCTAGCGTTCACTATATGTTATGTATATACATATGGTTACATCGAAGATGAATTTCTCCACTAAATTGGGGGAACCAACTGAAAACGTTATGCAGATGAATTGCGCGAGGATCATTCATCAAAGTGCTATAAAGCATGTGCAAATATCGTGCATGTGAACAGTTGCGTTTTGGTGTAAAGTTTTGTTACGAATTCGTCAATTTTCACTGAGTTTCATCATTTATTTAACTCATGACAATAATCTTTTCAACGTTACAAATGTGTTTTACAATAAATCAGTTCATGTGTAAACAGTACCTTTAAACAGGATGGAAAGCTTTGCAAAATTTATTTTAGAACAGTTGACTTAAGTAAATGGCTACATTTACACTAGTGAGTCTAAACTTTTGATTGGGAGTATATGTTACAGACTATTATTTACAGATCAATCTTATATAGTTGTAACAATGTTGATTGTGTCCTAAATGACAAACTTACATGCTACTTAATATGTTACAGACTAGTATTGACAGACTGCCCGTATGAACTTACACTGCTGTGTCTTAAAATCACAAACTTACACATTGCTTTATATTTAACTATTATTTACAGATTGACTTCAAAAAGCTGTGAAGGCTGGCAGAAACACCATACACTCACCTTTTTCAAGTCACTGATTTGTCTGGCTCAAGCTTAATTATTTACATTGTTACGGTGAAATGGCCAGAATAATGCTGACTTGCAGGTTTTATAGCTGTCCCCATGCTGAACTTTAGCATGAAACACATTCACTCACTCACTCCATTACTCTTTAACAGTGAGTCTGACAGTGAGGACGATGAGGTTGATGACGAAGATGGGATCACTGTTGACTTCAGAAGTATGACGGCTAGCGGTAAAGGGAGACAATTCACCGTGCGGCGTCTCGGTACAGCATCCCATGTGTCATTGTCCCAGCACATAGTGAAGAGTTTCATGGGTCAGGTGACCAGATGGACCTGGTACTGGTTTGATAAAGAATTACAACAGTGGAGGCAGTATGGGAATGTGGTAATTGAACCATTTGTAATCTTCCTTTGCTAAGGTGAGGGAGTGAGTGAGTTGAGTTTTAAGCCGCACTCAGCAATATTCAAGCTATATGGCGGCTGTTTGTAAATAATCGAGTCTGGACCAGAGAATCTAGTCTGTCTCACAGTCCCTGAACCACATTATTTTCCCAACTGCCAAGCCCTCTCTGCAGTGCTAAAGCCCTAAATAAAGCAAGTCTAGTTTTCCTCAGGTATACAATGGGGGTTCTGCTAAGAGCACTAATTTCACCACTCAGTGGTTTTATGGCGTGTGCCCGTGCGCATAAGTCGTGGCGCCGTCGTGGCGATCCACCGTTGGTGTCCATGGGCGCGACAGCGGCGTCTTGTTGAGGTGATGCGTAGATGTTGTGTTTGTAAACTTCTCAACGCATTCATTCGGTGTTTGAACGTCTTATTCTTGAACAGAGCTTGTTTGAAGAGGGCGTGCTTGATGTGTTGTTTCACCACGTATTTCTTGACCCTTTACCTTTCGGATCTCACCCTTGTCAGCTTTCAAGATGGAGTACATCTTAGGCCTCAAGCCGGCGTATTCGGCGATAAGGTGTGCCCTCGCATTCGTCCTTCATCTTGCCAAGGACCTTTTGTTGATCGTGTTGTGTAGGGCATGGTCCTTGGGGTGTCGCTGGTGTCGTACAGGTGTATTTGTTTTCCATGTCCTCATTACCGTCCTCGGTGTGTATATCTAGCAACAAAGGAATCCGTGTCCGTGTACAGCAGCTCGCGCTCGATCACCGTGTTGCTTCTTGAGGCGGTTGTAGTAGAAATCATACATGAGATGTTTTGGACAGGTCGAGAATGCTCATCCCCGTAGAAGCGGTCGGTTGAGCTTGATGTGACTTTGTTCATGTGCAGCGCCGCCAAGTCGTTATCCGAATAGCTTGCCCGGTTGAAGGCGGGCTAGCGATCAGTTTCCTGAAGTTTTCCTCCTGCTGCGATCGTCACGAGTTTGACCGTCGCCCGTTTTCTCAGGTTCTCCATCGTCTTACCAAACACCCGAGTTGTTCATGAGCTTATACAAGTTCTTCTCGAAGTCACTGGTGGCCAGCTTTACGCGGAGTCCGTGTTCATTCTGATGTAGGGCTCCATCCAAGGACTTTGGTCAAACTTCAGCACCCTATGAATTTTGGTCAGTTTCATACTCAGCGATAGGTACAGCTGCAGGTTGCGATAGTGCCGACATACTTGGTCTTGTTCATCAAGTTAGGGACGAGGTTTTCCACCGAGCCAGGGTGTTCTCACCAACAAGTCCCGCTGATAGTCGGACATCCAGTCTCGGCAGACCATCAACCGTTCGAGGGCCAGCGGGTAGCTGTTGTGAGCAGCGTGCAATGCCTCGGGATACTCAGATCCGCCGAGGATGTAACCCTTCCCGAATCGGTAGCGATGCTGCGTGATGTCGATCTCATCGTCCAACCACTCAAACCCACCCGTAGGCGAGAGACTGACTCATAGCCCAGCCGTACAGGTTGTTGGCGTCTAGGTAGAGAGATGATTGGTGGGTTTGCTGAAGAGTCGTAGCCTTCCGCGTCGCGTATTGTTGGCTCTTAGCGTACCGTTTGGCGTATTGGAAATCCACCTCGTAAGCCTTTCTCGATGAACAGGTGCGTATGTAAGTAATCCGTGAGCAATTCCAGCAACTCCGGTTTTCTTCAGCAGCGCATCCACACGATGGGCGGGGCTGGTGTAGTACCATGCAGGGTCGAGTTGATACTGTTTCAAACACGTCCTCCTAAGCGTCGAACACATCGGCTAGCAGAACACGTCCGTTCTCAAGAGTACAGGTCGTGGTAGTCGCCCAGATTCTTACATCCCAGTTTCTCCCACGTTCTGCGGCGTGGCGTATCGTCCTGGGAGATATGGGATTAGGTCAGGTTCACTGTAAAACCCACGATTCGATGGGAGGTATCGGGTCTCATCGAACTTAGACCAATCATCCATGTACTCGTATGGGTACACACCCTTCCTCATCAGCAGGGGCCGAGTCTCGGCGTTGGTGTGCCGATCAGTGATGGGGAAAGGTGTCATTAACCTTGACCAAACTATCGGCGCGATGACAGGAGGAACTGGCGCTGTCAATGAATCTCAGGCGGTTGGCGAGAAGCGAGATGTATTTTCCATGTTGTTGGGGATGCACTTGATATCACCGTCCACCTTGAGATGGCCTGCATGATCAGGTGGGCATCGTACCCTCTCAGATTATTGTGGAAGACCCGCGGGGATGTTGATTGTTTTAGGGTTGATTCTAAGCTGGAGATTGCCTTAGCGTTATGGGCGGCACCTGGTACCGGCGATGATGTGGCAGTGATCTCTCACAACATCCCATTCAGCGGCCTGGCATATATGGCAATTCTCAACCGCAGCTTGTGGCCGACTTGGTCGCCCGCGTCATCGCATGGAGAACAGCGGTGTACAACCTTTTCCTAATGATTTTCTCTTCCTGTTGCAAACACATCAGGAATCGTTAGGCTAGGACCTCGGTAGATGACTGGGCGTTGTCTGTCCATCGCATCGGACGACCCGCGTACCCAAACCCGCGGGCTTGGTGTTCTTGGGTCTTGCCCGTAAAACTTTGCTCAGTGTTGGGCACATCGTGAATCGACCGGTTTGATAAAGAGCCTTGAAGTCTGCGTTAGATCATGTAAGGCACAGGCATCTGATGTTTGTGGTTGGTGAATTTCAAGATGTTGTCTTAAGCCTTCCTTAGGCATGTCAATTCGGATCGCCGTCTCTCTCCTACACTAGGCAATCCCTGGTGTGCTTGCAGCAGATGCGATTTCGCGTAAAACCGTGCAGACATCGTTAAGCAGAAGTGTTTCTTTTCTCTGTGCATCGATTGATCGTGCAACAGCGGCTCAGATTTTTATTGCCGTGTAGTGATACTGGCCGTCTTTTTCGATGAGGAATATATTGGTTCTGCGCACAGTTTTATCACCCACAGGGCTTATCCTATGCCGCGATGGTTTTGTAAGCCTTTGGCCAGAACCGCGTTGGCGACCACCTTGTTCTGCTTTTGAATTGCGCCCAGTAGGAGATGGGTGTTAGCGTTCTACACCCGTGAAGTTGAACCCAGATTCTTCGATCGATGGATGGCTTCTGGCAGCCTGCCGGATTACCCGTTGGTTCATCGCGTAGCAACTATGACCGCCACCACCGCTGTGTAATCGTTAACATAGAGTAAGCCTTGGGTTTTGGGGTTAACGAGGGCCTTTTAGCCTTGAAATGCTTGGGCACCGGTATATCGCGACCCACCTTTGGGCGGCATGTAGTTAAGCTATGTCGAGATAAGCGGTGTTGATTTTGTCTACCACCCATCCAGAGCCCATATGGGTATATCTCTCCAGCGACTCTTGTATTTTCTGCAGCGATCGTCGATGGAGGATTCAATCAATTCTGGTTGGGTTAGGGCTTCCTGCTTACCTCTGAAATAAGGTGCAGCGTACTCAGTACTGCCGTCCATTATTCTGTTTTGGAGCTCCATTTTTCATCGTTAGTTGGTACTTGATGCTTTTCAAATTAAGCCTAGTTCTTCAGTGAGTTTACTAGTGATGGGGGTTTGACTGTACCGGTATCGATATTGGAATCAACCGTCATTATCAACCCGGAGATACTTACCCGCGGCGTGCTCCGTCTGCACAAATCTCAACTCGACTGGCCTGGTGTCTTCCAGCAAGGTGATCAGCTCGGCTCTTCTCATCGGGGAATAACCCTTCAATCCAGCGTTCTTTATACCGGAGTTTGAGGTCTCGCCGCGGTAGGGGCTTGGTATATTTCATATCGAGCAAGGTGAGCAGTTGGGGTTTCCTAAAGGTGGGAATAACCCGTCAGTCCACGACTTTTGGCGAGAGCTTTGGGATTCGATGACAGTAGTCATGAGTGTATACCATATCTTGAACCACATGTCTAATAGAGGCGTTTTCAATAATGCAGATAACCCTGTCAGCCTTCAAAAATGCAGCGCTGTAAACTTTAGTCCTGAGCAGCGGTTCAGATTCGTTGAGGTAGTCTTTCTTCTTATAAGTAAATAAGTTGGTTTGAACTCGTCCTTCCATGGTCTTTGCACAGCCCATAATGTCCTTTGACCCTATACGCATGCTTTGCAAACATAATTGACATGACCCTTTCTCACACAGTGGGCATCACGGTGGCAATATTCAGTCATGCAAGCGTTTACGCCAGGCTAATGACTTGCCGAGCAATACCCATTTGCAATAATGGTTCCCGCGAGCCACATGTTGTATACCTTATCGCGAGGTCAAATGTCTAAATGAATGTTACTACATATGAAAGGGTCGGGGTTTTGGGGTTTGGGTGTTGCTGGCTTGTCGGCGATTGTGTGAAAGGGGAAACTGGTTTGCTATGCTTCCAGGTCTTGTGGATGACCTTCCAGAGTATCTGACAGCTATCGAAACATAGGTTAACTTTTGGGCTGATTCTACCATCTCCCGCACCTTCTGGATACCCAGGCGGGTGTCTTCTTGTTCCTCTTCTATTTCTTCCAGGACTTGCGTCATTGTCATCATCCTTGTCCAACCTCCGACAGGATGTCAACCAACATAAATTCGACGATGTATTGGCGGTTTACTCCACCACGAGTCTCGAGACTCCCCAGGCGATCGTAGAAGTCCTGGATGGTTGGTAGCGATACTACCAGGTATTGTTACTTCGATCTATCGAGAGTCACCTTTTGTGGTTACGTGGGACCCGACAGCGATACTTGTTGGTTGTAAGTACAACATGATACTTCTGGTTCTTCGATCGGATCTCTCATATGTCGTGAGTCTTGTGGACCCAATACCGAATGCGGCTTTTGACCTCGCTTGCTGGGGAGCACCCTTGAGAAGGGCGTATTTCTTGGATCTTATCGAAGGTAAATCTCTTTTTGGTGGCATGGTTGTTTTCTAGGCATATATATACCCATACTTCCTATATGCCTATATTAGGGAATCCCAATCCTCTCCCAGGAATCCCAATCCTCCCAAGAAATCCAGTAATCCCAATCCTCCCAGGAATCCCAATCCTCCCAAAATCCCAATCCTCTCCAGAAACTCCTAGGCAATTGCTAAGCATTTTGTTAACCAGCATTTTGGCTCAAGTATTGTTTCGGCTCTTTAATACTACTGACAAGCATTTGCGCCTAAGCCGGTGCTTCACAATGGATTGGTTTCCTGAAAGAACAAAGAAGACGCCGCCGATCTGGTATCCCGGAATTGAATGATCATCAAGGTCGGCACCTATGTTTCGACAACTGCATTACTCGGAAGATCCTGACCTGATAACAAACTCGATTCCCCTTTCACCGCAGGCCGTTTCAACAACACCCGAAACCCTGAAGCCGGTTGCATATGTATTCGACGGTCATTTGAACATTTTGACTCGCGCCGCTGGCGTAATGACCCGATGAACCGGTATTGCAATGAGCCGCCGACGAAACGCGACGCTGGCATGTTTGATATTGCCCTTTCCGCTATTGAAGAGTCATGTCAATTATGTTTGCAGAAGCTATGGCGTGCCAGAGGTCGAAGAACGACATGAACATTATGCGGAAGGACGGACCGAAACAACGACTACGATGAAAGAAGGAACTACCTCAACGGCGACAGCCGAGTGTACCGACACAGAGAAACCCGACATGCAGCCACAATGAACGTATTGACTCCGCGCCAGCCATGACGTCATCGAACTCAAAGCTACTGTAAAGATAACTGGCGGTTATTCCGCAGCAGAAGGCAACCCTTTCGCCTTGCTTCGATATGCAAGCCCCTGCGATCTTGAACACTCGAGCTCGTTAAGAAGCGGCGGTGAAAATTTTGTGGCGACTGTCTGCCGGAGCCCGTGGTTAATTTGTGCGGGCGAGGAGCGCGCCCGATGGTATGCTCGGGGGTTGAATAATGGCGGTTATTCAATATGCGACCATTGCGATCAAACCCCCATCGCCAATAAAAACTTTCAGCGGTAAGCGTTTTAATACCAATAACGATGAAAATGAATCAAACAGAATAACGAAGGCATTGTACTAATGCGTGCGCAACCTTCGAAGGTAACGGAAGCTAACTTAACCGGGAACAATTGAATCCTCCATGCGACACGCCATCGACCTGGCAAAATTGAGCCCGCTGCTGGAAATGGTATTGAACAAAATGGCACCTCGACATCAGAGCTTTATGCGTCTCAAGTACTATACAAGCTAAAAAGAACACCAGTTAACCCAGGCAAAGGCATTTGATCGCGTTACTGGCGATGATGGCGGTCACTGCTGCGCTCGCTTGACGTCTGGCAGCGCCCTTGCCAGTTGCTTCGCGTGGCGGCAACATATCTCCCCACTGAAATATTCGAAAGCAGGCTAGTGACGTCAACGTCGATTACGTGCGAAAACATTAAAACCGTAGATTACTGTGAACGACAAACTTTGTCAGAAGACAACCTGTCAATAGAAAAGGCGTTATTACGCGTGCTCAAAACAGAGGCGACTTTGTTACTATCGGCCTGATACCGAAATGCTAAGCGATCATCTTGTTTTAAGCGACCGACTTTCTGCTGGCGTCGATGACTGTGCCGAAGCGTTGTTATCAGCGAGTGACACGAAGCATCGACTACTTATTGCTGCCACATGATACTAAGCGAACCGAAGCCCTCTTGGTGGAGCGTGTGCTGCCGAGCAAAGTTTTCGTGCCAGGCAGGCCACCAACTTCTCGCGGGCTGAAATGAACAATCCTGTTGAGCAACGTCGATTACGAAGATCTAACGTGGCTGATACGATGTGTTTGCAACAGCGAGAAAATAGAAAGGCTTTGTACCGCTTTGCTATGTCGGCAAATTAAAATAGCGTGTGCTGCCGGGGTGAATGAGATGTTAATGGTCTTGCATCGGCGTGCACGGTATGCTGGCGTGCCATCTCCAGCAGAATCAACACAAAAGGCAATCAGCATCCCATGATCCCTGTCTGAAGTACGATGCTTACCTGATATGCGAGCCATCCGAAGGTGAAGACGATGACCTCAGTGCATCTGGCAATGAATACATCTGCGTTCTTTCAAACAACCGTCTGTCATTGACGGCTCGGCCTCTGTCATCATGACCAGTTTGGTCAGGCTGTATTTACCTTCCCCATCGCTGATAAATTTTCGTCTATGCCATTACGTAATCGACGGTCGCCGATAGTTCTCCCATCGACGTTTTACAGCAACGACGATCACGGGGCGATGCGATACGCTGTCGGCGTGAAAACTGGATCGCCGTCTGGTGACACCGCGACTGTACTGAGCGGGCGTCTTCACTGCTAACGACGTTGGAAGGTGTTTTGGTACGGCTCGGCTTCCGACCTGCATGTGCACCGGCGATTATGGTGAGGATAACGGTGCTGGAATTGCTCGCGGTTTTATGCGCCACTGTTCATCGGCATGCGGTAGTTTCAACGCGCCCGAAACCAGCTTAATGATAAATGAAAATGCGACGATAAACTCTCTACAAGCGTAACAACTGCGGCAAAGTCGGTCTTTCTGCCAGACTTTGGTCAGTTGAGCGATGTCATTATCGACATCGGCGTAGACCAGTACATCACGTGGTCTGGTATCGACGATAGCTGCTGGCTGCCGAAGACGATAAACTGATGTCGACTTATCGAGGACTTGTTGAATACCAGCTTCCGATATCAGCGCAATTTGGAGCCAGTATATTAGATATATAAACGCAATATTACTATCGTTGAACAAACTGACAAAAGTCATCAAAGTGCTGAAGACGACCAAGTCTGAGGATATCAGAATGAACTGCCGGATATAATCACTCACTTCCTTTAATAAATGCCTTGGCACTTAAATGAAGACCTTTAATTGCCTTGGCGCTTACAATTAATTTAGGTTTTGCAGTGAATTTCTAGACAAAAAGGTGAAATGTTGTTAGTAATGAACAAAACAAGTCAAAATTCTTAGAGCCAGTGGGGTAGCCACATGGGGACAATGTGTGAAATCCGTTTCTGGTGTCCCCCCACCTTGATATTGCTGGAATATTGCTAAAAGCGGCATAAAACCCAACTCACGCACTCACTAATAGAATATTATCATGTCACAATAATGTACCGAACACACCCAGGAGGACTCACTCACTCACTCACTCACTCACTCACTCACTCACTCACTCACTTACTTTGGGAATAGTCTTGATTAATGCATTTTAATTAGAAACAAATTTCAGATATTAAAAATAATTTGATCAATTTGTTCATTTCCTTTTTACTTCATAGTGACAAAACTATTAAATGATTATTTTTTTTAACATTTTTTTTTAAATGTTAAATAAAGTAATAACAACTGACATAATTTTTTTGGTTTTTAGGGATCAGGAGGTCAAAGACCGGACACTGATAGTGACTTCATCGAGCGAGCATTTGGTCGAGATAAAAACAGTTTCGTTGACTTCAGAGTTGGAACCAACATCTTCAGACTTCGATTTTCCAAGTTTCAACAAAAGAACAGACAAACAGGAACACGAAAACAAGTTCGACGGAGGCCCACCTACATGAGATTTTGATATGTTTTGTGTGCGTTTGTTGTTAAGCAGTTTGTTGTTAAAGGTCACATGCAACATAAAACACAACTTTGCAGATTCTGATACCTTTCGGTATGGACTTACCGAAACAAATCATCAAAAATGCAAATTCAAGTTATAAAGTTAAAAAATAACGCGATGAAAAAAAACGCGCGAAATCGGAGTTCAAACGTTTCACTAAATTTCCCCAGACTTTTCTGGGGAAAATGGGTTTCAACAGCTGGGCTGCGCTCATAGCATGTGCGCAGTGAAATAGGTTCGCACAACTTGAGGCGGGGCTGTCTGGTGAAAACTTCGGTGAAGGCTTTGGTGTGAGCTATTTTCTAATGTTTTGTTGATATCTCACGAGTGAGCTTTTATATGTTATGACAGTAAATAAACTGTTTATATAATTTCATTGGTCTATTTCACCACCGCGTTCTTCTTACCGAAGTCACTTTCTCGCTTCGATACTTAAAAAGCAATGTCATTATTTAGCGTTGACACAATTTCTAACTGTGATATAGATATGTCGTTGTCACAGACAAAACTCAATGTCTTGTTTTATTGACACCTGTGTGTCTGCCTGCCTGTCTGCTAATGACAATATTCAGTACACAACTGCGATCACTGACCACATGCAATTTGAACTTAACACCAATCAGGCTATACACCATAAACAAAACGCATTGATTTATGGCCCGAGTTCGGTCTCTGTCACATTATGTAATTACACAGACAGGCAGGTGTGATACTTGAACACATGACATGTTATGATGTCTGTTGATTGCAAAATGTTATACACAAAAACTGATCATGTAATTACAAAACCCAACATCTCTATATATATACACACAATAAGCCGTGAAGGCAGCATCTGCTAATGAACCAGCCGTTACGCTTGAGTGCACACCCACCCGCTCTGACTGGGTTCGGTATCCCGCCTGCTTCGTTTCGAGGGAGGTAAACCCAAGTACAAAATATTGCACTTTTGATTTGCGATTATACGCTTATAATTTTGTTTATTTGTTTTTTCATAATCAGCAATGCATATTATATGTCATGAAGAAGTGATAATTGTGTTTTAATTATGTTTGATTTTTGGGTTGCATGTGACCTTTAAGCAGTGTCATGACTGTAGCCTGTAAACAAATATATATTTATCTTGTTAGTTTTAGAGGAATTGTGAGTGAGTGAGTGAGTGAGTATGGTTTGACATTGCTTTAAGCATTATTCCATCAATATCACGGTGGTGAACATCAGAATTGGTCTTCACATGTAGTACCCATGTGGGGAATGGAGCACAGGTCTTCGGTGTGACGAGCAAACACTTTAACCACTAGACTACTCCACCGCCCCCTTCAGAGTAACAGCACTTGCGTGTATCTTTACAAATGCCATCACAGAGGCAATGGCATTTGTAAAGGTCAAGGTCATTGGTTGAATGAGGTTGAATGATTCAAATGACTTTTGCTCCATGAAGATTTTACTTGTGCTTGTACAACCCTTAAACATGTTAATTGTTACATCTGAGGTCAGGTCAAGTAAGGTCATGGTCAAGGTCATGCAATGTCAACATCAGGTTCATAAAAACATTTGTATTGGGGAATTTTATGCAGTCATCATGTTATTCCCAGCTGTGGATAATAGGTCATTCATCTAATCACAAATTGGCGCCTGCCTCCTTTTTTTTGTTTGCATATGTTAAAAGTGTCAGTCAGCAATATTACAGATGTAATTTTTTGAAGCCAAGGCCTGATAATCCAGTTATTGATAATATGAACAACAGGACATACAGACACTCAATCAACCAAGTCCTAGAATCTGATCATTTAATCACCTCTCACACCAGCTGCTTGTTTCTTATTCTAATCCAGAGTTGCCATGAGAACCAAAATTAAAATGCCTCTCATGACAGCGAATGGGTTGCTTTGGACACAATAATTACAACATGCCGACCATGATGTCTACACAAGAGACAACAAGGTTTATCAGTTGTGGAGTTGTATGTTTACGTAGTTGTAGGGCAGTAGTGCTATAGGATTCATATTACTGTTTTCACCACAATAAGCACCCTGTTCCATTAATCATCCCCGATTTCTTGAGGAGGTAATCTTTAAAAGTAACCCCTATAACAACCGAGAATTTACATTTACACTACATTCCATATTTATCGTAAATGTCACACTTACCTTATATTTAAAAACAATATTCATACCGAATTATATCTATCATGTTTAAATGTAAAAACATTTAACACGATTCTGATGCTCATCTCATGAACTTCTAATCAAGAAAGGTATATATGTAAATATGGATAGAGAACATAGAACATAGGACTTGTAAATTATGTAATACAAATGCAATTGAAGACGAGTATGATTTTCTTCTTGTGTGCCCTAACTACAGTAGTCTTCAAAGCAAATATATAAGAGAAAAATATTATGTCCATCCAAACAGGCTTAAGTTTTCACTACTGCTGAACAGCTCAAATCTTAAAGAAATTGAAACCTGTCCATGTATATTTTCTACTCATTTGTACATAGAAAACATATTGTTCCTTTACTGACTGACAGAGTTTGGTTTTACGGCGCTTTTAGCAATATTCCAGCGACATCATGGCGGGGGACACCAGAAATGGGCTTCACACATTGTACCCATGTGGGGATTTGAACCCGGGTCTTCGGCGTGACGCTTTAACCATTAGGCTACACCACTGCCCCATTGTTCCTTGAACGTGTATAAAGCAGTGTATATAGTGTAGTATAGGCCTGAGGTCTTTTCAGAACCGGAATAAAGATTGATTGACATATTTATCGTAAATGTATGTATTACAGATTTTTTTACGGAAAATAGCAATGTAAAAGGGTACTATAACTGCCCAGTAACTACTCAAACAAGTCCAGGATCAGGAAATTATTTAAGTAACGTAAGAGCATCGGATGGTCTTAAATGTTTTTCAGTACAATATAAGTACAAAGTACACTGCATTGAGTACAACGTCATATTATTGTGATGACATCCTCTGAGATGAATTCTGAGAAAGTACATCTATTAAGACTGTATTTACTCCATAGTTAGTTCTGGGTTTTGTATTTGATAAAAGGGTAATAAGATGACTAGTAACTACCAAGAAAAAGTTCCAGACCACTGGATTCTTTGAAATTTTGAAGTAGGGAGGGTCTTAAACATTGAGTACAAAATTATTGAGAAGGTTCTTGTTTCATTAGGGCTGGGGCTCCTTTCACGAAGCAACCTTTACTAAGGTTAACCTTATAGAACTCCCATTCTTTAACATTGCACCAAGGTGACCTTTAGGGACCATTCATAAGTTGTTGTTTTGTTTTGTTGTTGTTGTTTGTTGTTTGTTTTTGTGTGTGTGTGTGTGTGTGTGTGTGTGAGTGATGATTTTAAGGGTGGGTGGGGTGTCACCCATTTTGTTCTGGGGAGGTGGGGGGACATCAGTTTTGTGCACATCTACTAGGGGACCGTTCATAATTTATGGCTGGGGGATGATGATGATTTTTTTTTTTTTTTTGGGGGTTCACCCATTTTGTTCTGGGGAGGTAGGGGGTCATCAATTTTGTACACATGTACTAGGGGTGTCAGCTATTTTGTACATAAAAATATGTTTGAAATTATGCTTAGAAATTATGGGAAGGGAAGGGGGGATCATTGAATTTGTACATGACATGCAGGGGGGTCACTTACTTTGTACATAAAGTTTAGGGGATGTCATTCATATTGTACATGCATCTCCATAAAAATCATCATCACCACCACCACCCCCCCCCCCAGCCATAAATCATGAACGGTCATTAGTGCTTTGTGAAAGGAGGCCCAGGGTATGTTACTACGTCTCAATCTGTGGCTAACAAATTTAACGTGTGGTTGTGTCAATGTTCTTGTTATGGTGAGTATTGTAGTTAATTTATTTGCATAAATTTAGTGATCTCTTAAAATCAAATGTTTGGAGATGAAAATATAATCAACAGGAAAGGTCAAAGGATTCTTTTTCTATATATGTTGACTTACTTGTATTTTGAAGCACAGACATAACAGGAAGTAATTAATGAAGTAATTAACTCAGAATTCAACATATGGATTATGTTTCTGCGACATTATTAATTTTGATGCTCACGAATTTTCTCAAAATATATACAGTGCACACTGGTTATAATGCCATCCTGGGTAAAATGCCATGTTTTGGCCAGAATGGATTTCCTGCCCTTGAAATACCCTGGTTGTAATGCCAAAGTGGATGTAAAGCCATTTGCCAATGTTTTTGGAACAAAAGTCAGTTTCCCCTGGTTTTAATTAAATCAGAATTTTATGTATTCTCTTCAGTAGACTTTTCAGTTGGTGGATCTATAAGTTGTGTAATCATATGTATAAAATACACCTTAGGCCAAAATATAATTTATTTAGTTATGTAATCATCATTTCTGAAAATAGAGTGTACAGTACACAACCCTGTGCACTTAAAAGAACCCACGAATCAGTTGGTATATGACCAGATGGTGACCACACGAATATCTGCAAACACCTAGTAAACTTGGACAAAGTACTGTGACTATATGTCCCAGTCCAACCAGCTGTGAATGGGTACCTCGAAAGTCACATTAACTCGGTGTGCCTAGCGGCAGCAAGAGGTATATGCTCCTCAGGGAGTTGAGATTTATTATATGATGTGCCGCTGAGATTGACATCCAATGATCGAGGGAAAAACAGAGAAGCGCTTTGAGCATGCTTGTGGGGATAGACTATAGTGCTATGTAAATACCCATATATATGTGGTGTTCCCTTATTTGTTTCCATCAGTATATATGAGTATTATGCTGATACCAACTTTGGTTAAGTGATTATCTTTGTTGACATTTTAAATTGTTTACTACATATCCAGGTGAGCTACACTGCCTCAGTACCATTTTTCTGTGACATGTACTGAAGGCAAAAAAATAAGGGATCACATGAAAGGACAAGTGTTCCTTTATTTTTTTCCAGGGTTTCTTCACAAGCTTTTTATCACACCTTTATAA